AGTTGGTATTAGTAAAACTCGTGTACACAAATAAATAATTATTAAATATATATATATATATATTATAATATATAGTATAATTACTGGATTAAAAAACAACGGGATACCTAAGACACAATAAATAATATAAGCTACTGTATAGGTTAGTGTAATTATTGTGCTGACGCGCCTTTTTCAATAGATAATACAAATATACGTTGGTTCGAATAATATCATCGATACTGTGAATAAATTTAATTGAACTGGTTAAGAGGATGCCTCATGGATATTTGTTTTCTTCGTCTTACAAACACACAATATAGGACATTTTACATTCACAATAATACGTTTTACATTGTAGTTTCTGAAATTGGAGTGAATTTAGTTCTTATAGAATTTAAAGGCAAGAATATTATCTAGAGCATCTCGGAGGATTTTATTGATATTGTTATTTTTAAGTAAATTAATATCGTTTCAAGATGTGCAAAAAAATAACAGTTTAAAAATGGTCACAACTTACTTAAAAATAAGAAACATGTATTTTGAATTAACTCGAATTAATGCGAAAGTAGATTCCGCCTATATCATAATATATGGGTGTAAAATAAATTTAAAATACGGCACCCACAGGATTCTAATATTATAATACGTACCACATAATATATACTTACTACGCATTGAGCTAAAAGCAAAATATTTAAGATAATTTACCATATGAAACTTTATAAAGATATGGAGCTATAATATCAAATATAGGTACGTGATGCTTATGGCACTATGACAGTCGAATAATTTAAGCGTTATTATAGAAATCACACGTGACGTGGATAACGGCCAACCTATTTTTACTTACTCTTAGTACTAGGTATATAGTATATTTTTTATTTATTATATAATATAATCCAAACTCACTAAGTCAATTTTCCTGCTATACATTCTTCTACGAACCATTTCTGCAGGTGTGGTGTTGGTGTAACATGTTATATGTATCGGTAGCACGATGTCATGACATTTTTCAAACAGTGGGCATTAAATTGAAATACTTTATACAAGAAATCTACAGGTATGCAGTTCTATATAATAAATATATTTTATTGTCAAACTAGACAATAACATATATTAATATAATACTCCCTGCAACACTCCGTCGATGGCTGATAAACCCATCAATTTGTCGTCAGAGTTATTATGTGTTATAATATTGCAATATATATTTTGTATAGGTAGACCTCGACGTATGTATTACACACGTACTACATAGGTACATAATATAGTTACTGCCTAGCTGTGTGTGATTTCAAATCATAAAACCATTAGCTTTTTTTTCTCCGCTGCACAGAAAGTCATCAGAACCTATAAAACTTATATTAAAGATCCACATGGTAACTAAATAGATTTTCACGTTGTGTTATTCTTCCGTTATGTTATAACATACGTACGTATAAAAGAACATATAGGACATAATACAAATCTATAAAGTCTAATGTATGTGCGTATCGCGTAATGGTACCTAGCGAATTATAAATTATGTACCTATTTATAAGTCACACTATTTACGTTAACACATATAGTACGCAATTTAGTAGAATGTCAAGACATCTAGTGCAGAACTTGTATAAGTAGCTGGAGGCGCCTCATATTTCTCTAAATATGTCTAAAAGAGTGAAATAACGAAATTATATCGTAAAAATATTTAAAAACTCAGGATTTTTACTGAACCATTCAATATTCTAAGTAATATAGTTTGTGATTTAAAGACGTATACAAATACCCATCGATCCTGTTATAACTGTGTTTATAAATCAAATCTGCTAAAACTATTTAAGCAATTATGATTTTTAAGTATGTAATGCACAGGTTGTACTTATACAAATTATACTTAAATCACATTGTAATTTGAATTCGTAGGTATCTAACAATATATATTACACAAAACACTACAGCTGATGTTAATAGGGTGCTATAATTGCCAATCAAACATCAGTAATCAGTAATCACAAACAAAAAATAAAAATCTTCAACTGAAAAATGTAATGATGGTAAAATGTAATATATTTTAACACGAATAACTATTATCTCCTGGAGCAACAGCTATAGATACGGGCAGACAGTTATTAGGTACTTAAAGATATTTATTGCCGCTACCGGAGCGAAACACATAATTATAATTGATGGATATATATTTTCGACAATATACCGTTCTGCGTTAAATCCGAACCGAGCGATGAGAAGATAATTGTGTACATATTTCATAGCCTAACGGATATCTTTTAACTCTTTATTAACTCTTACGCATAATAGTAAAACATTTTTACARAAATTGACATATCAGTGTACCTATTACCGCTGCAAAACCATTTGATAYCAGAAATATACTAACAAATTTGTAGAAGATTTCTCATAATAATTACACCGATACGGTCGACATATTGGTACCTATTGTGCCTATAATACTTCGCGAGTAACGAGGAACAACTAACGACAAGTACATATTTTATCATGCCGTGGATAGGGAAAAATCTCCTTGATTCGTAAATAATACTATGCGTATAGACGTCATACATTCAAAATTGAATAATATTATACGCTAAGTTCGTACACCGCACACGTATATATAGTATATACATGCTATACAGGGTGATCCAAAAACGTCTATTGAAGGCAAAGAAGGGACATGCCCCCCTGGAAAATAATTAAGTATAGAAACAAAAATTATGAATGTTTTTTATCTATAATACGCATATTTAATTTTCAATATAATACTATAGTTACCTGTATGTATAGACTTTGTAACAATTACTTTTTTTTTTTTTTAATTATTATTTGAACAGGAATTGAAAATGATATGGTCTTTACTCTTAATTAAAAATTGCTAAAATTTGAATTTAAATATAAATGTATCGTTGTATATGATAAAAGTGGCCGATGGGTGGGCGTCATGCTTGGTGAATCACTCCGCACATAATAATAGTCCCGTGCCTACTATAATACGACGTACGAGACCCAGGGAAACTTGTAATTCGCATAGGTATACACGCCGCCACGCCGACAGACACTACGGCATAAAACAATACAAAAATGAAATTATTATTATAATAATATCGCGATTACGTCGTCGTGTGGATCTGGGTCAATGGGTCTCGGGCGCAATCACACCGTCATGAATCATCGTCGAAATATCTTCGGCCGCCAGCTGGAGTCCGTGCGTGGTATACGAATGGCCGACGATTGTCGAACGTCGTCGTGGCTCCATACAATAACATAAAGCCGGTATAAAAATGTGGGTTATCCCGCGGTATCTGTACACCCGATCTCCACCCAATCGCATGTGGGATACGTCTAAAACGAGCGCACAAGTCTCCAGCGGCGGCGGCGGCGGCACGGTGATCCCGTTACGATCGGGCCCCGCGACGATCACACGACACACACTTCTTGCGTTACTCGGTGTGTCGCGTTTTTCACAGCGTTTGAAACCGTCTCCTGTTAGGTATACATACGAATACTACACGATTCATACGTAGCGGTCAAGGTTACACACCGCCATCGTCGTTGTACAGCTGCTGATGTAAACTGTGAAGGTTTTCGTTCCGAAATGACCAGCCGGTATTATGTTAGCGGGTATACGCCTTACGATACGCACAATAATACTACACGTCTAAATATATTATGTTATTTAAATTGCGTCCATGCTGTGGTTTATATTTTTTACATTTTCATCACGGTGGGTAAAAAAAATAATATATGTCCCTAGTCACTGGCATCAATGTAATAATCGAAAATATATCGGCATTTTACAATAATAATATGATAATATATTTTTTGTTATTATTGTAATGGATGTTATAGATTGGAGAATATAAATTTGCCGATCGGAAATGGCAAATGAAAATAACGTTCAGCGTGGACGTAATAATAATGCGTGTATACCGTTATACAGTGATTTTTTTTTTATTTCCTTATTCCTTGACTTATTATAAACACATTAAACACACTCAGCCGTATTATACTTAATATACCCCGAAGACCTATTATGAATGTATTTATGTACATATGCATTTGGTCCAGATATTAAACACACACACACACACATATATAAGTAAACGTCCACATTTACAACATACACACGCGCGCGCTCACGTTTATACGGTGTCTATTATTGTATATACACACGTACGTGAATATTTCCGGAAGACCGTACCGCCGCGACTGATGGTTTCTAATTGCACGATTAATTACAAAAGCATCTTTAAAACTATATACATTATAGAATATAGTAGGTCAATCGGTGTTTTATTATCCAAAAATATAACATACATATTATACAAATACAAAGACGTGGAAATTATACGTGAAGCGACGTTTTGTTTTCCCAGCTATTTCTTATACGTTTCCCATATGATATCATATATGCTGTATAATCATAGAATTATAAATATTAWTATTTTATACATTTGTATTAAGTTTAATTAATGAAATATGAAATAATAATGCCAATTGAAGTAATATACTTGGATAAATTTACTTTTATACAACATTGTGTTAAAATGACTTAAAAAATGGAAGTTGTGGAAAAATATCTTTAAATAGACAGAACTTGGACATGACAGTCAACTGCTTAAATATTACTTATATTATTAGCTGGATTCCAAAACGAGTTTATTACAATTATTTATATACAGCTATACCAGTTTTTTAATTTTATTTTTCTTCAACTTATGGAACAATATTAATTAATAGCCTATACAGGCGTATGCAATTATAAAGAATTAATATTTAATAAATCAGATGACAGATACTCAAATATTTTTATAAAAATGTTTTAAATAAACGATAGTTTAAACAAAACAATAAAATTATGATGGTCTTAAAAAATGAAATAAGATTTTTATAATTTATATTATATTTATTTCCTATGTGTATGGTGACTTATTCTGTTGTTGTATTTGATTACAAATCTTGAAGAGATTTTTGCAAATGTTTTATTCATATTTAATTCTAATTATTCTATTTTATMTTTACAGTTATTGCGTTTAATTTACGTACTATCCTTGTGCAAGTATACGTGGGGTGAACTTTGTGGCGGAAATGGTGAATCTCTGAAATACTTGCGGGGTGACGCGCTCACCGATAATTTGGATTGCATCGGTCCCAATGGTAAACCTTATCCTGAGTGAGTACAAAATTTGTTTGAATAATTTTTTTTTACATATCGATACGGTTAAAAATATCAATARACAATCGACCCAGTTGGTAGTTTGTGGGATATAACTAGTTATCGTCAATTACCTATTAGTACCATTCCATTTATTCGGAAATTAGAAATTACTGCAATTTAAAATACTCACTCTAAATTCGTTTAATAATGTTTTTATTTGTACAAAAATGTATAGGTCGATAGTAGCTGGCACGTATAGACGCACCCACAACTGGGGATCAAGAACAGGACGTGACGCTTTTCACACAGACTCGAAACCCAGTCCTGAAATGGTACGAGAAACACTTCTAAAAACCTATAAAATTAATAATCATAACGAAGATTACACGATAAGTAGAACTGGTAAGTAGTGAATTCACTGTTTAGTATTTGCTTAAAATTTAAAACCTATAGCCAATTTTATTAGGTATTGTGATGGTTTTCTCATTTTCAGTTAATTTTAAAGTGTTATAGGTTATAATTTTTTTTAAATATTTGTTTTAAGTTAGAACTCTTTAAAGTAGCAGATTAAAAACCAATATAATATATTGATTTATTTAAAATATTTTTATACTGTATAACAACATTTTATTTATTGTTTTATTATTTATTTATTTATATATATATATAATATATATGTGTGTGTGTGTGTGTGTGTGTGTGTATGTATATATATGTATAACTTATACATATTCCCTGGCGTTCCCCAGACATAATCTGTACTTGTTCAAATTTTTTATTTCTATTAATATTATACCCATATTTTGACAAGATAATTGACATTATTTTGTTCTGTTTAATGCTTCTCACGTTATACTAAGTACTACTAGTCACTATACGACCATTTAATTAAAGAGTAAAAAAAAATTGTTAAAACCTGAATCGATATCATAAATAAGTGTAATAACTATCGAAACGAAATATCAATCATATATAATATTACATACATATAATAGAGACCTAGATGTAAAACTTCAGATAATTTATTGGAGAAATAAACGTTTTTCACACTATATTCCTACTTGAACAACTGCGCAACGAATCGAGTTTTATTCGGATATTTAACAAAATAAATAAGTATCTCTAAATTCAATAATTAAGTGTATATAATTTTGTAACCTAAATAGAAATGATATAATAGTTCTTTTACATCTGATGTATATATATATGTATCATACCTATTTATATAGGTATTAGGGCTAATATTAGATATACTTATTAATATTATTAAAATACTATAAATGGTAAATGTTTATTATGTTTTAAATTATTTACTACGATAATATTAGAGAATTATCATTTTTAAATTTTTAAAGCTTACTAATTCTCATTTCAATAGAAATAATAATGGAAATTTTTATTATTAAAAATTATAAAAATGTTTAAGTACCTACCTTAATAGATACCACATTTTGCACTAAATCTGTTATTATATTTTCAAAGGTATTTCTTTGAACTAGTTTGATGTTAAGCTATAATATTTTAAATCGATTAAAAAAAAATAATATGAATTCTTAGTAGGTTAAAACCTAATGTATGTGTGTGATGCTAACAATAATAATTAATAGGTACAATCAGAGTGACATGCCAGTTATCGGAACAATTAAATCTACACATATTTAAAAAAATAAATATTCTAATAAAATACGTTTCCAACGAATTATCATACATGATTCAATAAAAATATTTAATTTATTAATTATATTAATAATTATCTTGAAATACGGATCGCCATAAATGACAATAATTAAGTATGCTAACAATTACATATTATTTCAATTAAATACGATTCAATTCAAATATTTCAGAATTATTATGGTTGCGGGTGAATATGTGATAGTTTAGATGAAATATGATTCTATTTTCAATTTCCATGCAAACTTGTAAGAGTTGTTGTCAATTCACACCAAAATTTACCCAAAATATAGACAACATGTATTATTTACACCAACATATTTTTTGAAATGCGTTTGTAACTTGCACCAAAATATAGAAATGTATTAGCACCAAAATTCAAATCGATTATTCTTTCGATGGTACCTATACCTACACAGGACTTACGTTAAGCCGTTAAAGGGGAGGGGCAAAGCGGTACATTTGTCCAGGGCCTCGCATATTCAAAGCGGGGTTGGTAAATTGAGTCCCAAATGACCCTAACTTGGTAAATTAGGTCCCGGGGAAAAATAGGTAGTAGGTGAGTTGAGTCCCGTAAAAAATAAGGTAGTAGGTAATTTGAGTCCCAGGGTAAAACGATTTATATTTTATATGCATTTAAAATTTAAAAATATGTACTATAACATTTTTAAATTTTAAATGCATACAAATCGTTTTTTCCGGGACTCAACTTACCTACTACCTATTTTTCCCCGGGACTCAATTTACCGCTTTCAAAATGTACCAAACTTATCACGGATTCAATTTACCTAGCCCCATTCAAAGGCCTCGCGCTTAAAATTTACATTGATAAATATTTTATATGGAAATCGTATAGACTATTATATAATGGTATGGTATATGAGACTATGGTTATTGGTTGAATAAGTTTTTCCCAGGGCCTCACAAAAGGGCTATATGATATATAAAGCGCCAATCTAATATTGTATACATTAGTCCTGTAAAGAATACATTTAAAAAGTATACTCAAATACATTTTTTTTTTAAGTATTTAAGATACTACTCAAATACTTTTGGTTTTTGAAGTAGGTTTCTAATGATTTATCGTAATATAGCACATATAGTAAGTTTATAATAATTTTTATTTTACTTATTATTCATTGAATAAATGTTTGTTACATTTTGAGAACATAATGTTTTCCAAATAATATAAAATATTTCGAATAAAAATAAAATGTTCGAAATAAAAAACCAAAGTATTCAAACAAGTACTTAATACAATAATACTTAAAAAATTATTTAAAATACCATTCAAAATACTTCATGCTGAAGTATTTTAAAAGTTATTCAATACTTAAAAAAGTATTTGAATACTTTTACTCAAATATTTTACAGGACTGTTGACTGCAGTATAAATGTTATACTCAACATATTACATAAGTGCTAAAGGTACAAAAATGACATATTATTTGCATCAAAATTAATATTTTATACAAGTATATAGTTATTTAAAATTGTTTTTATAAAAAAATTATGTTAAATAATATATTTAATAAATAGGTACTTAATAATAAATTATTCAATTATTATATACATGCAAATCAATATAAATTTAAATGTGAAACAAAAATTGAAAACTTTATCATTTTAAATAATCTATGGCATCAATTAATGTTTTATGCCACTGAGCCGGGGGAGGCATATCCCCTCCTACGTTAATTCACCACTGAATCTATTAACCGTTATTTTAATGATTTTTCAGCCCGAGATTATGGATCAACACCGGCTACCAATCGTGAACTTTGTCAAACACCGAACAGGCTGTGCCGCACCAGATACAATACGACTGCACCCATGTACGGTGTGTCGTTGACATCTGGCCAACCTGTGACAATCGTTCAAAAATTCCCGGATCTGTTACAACAAGTCGTTTATGAAGTTTGCGAGTAAGTATACTATATGAGTATTTTAGTTATAACCACCTATTATAATATAACCGGAGACATACTCCACGCATTCGTCTATTACCATAATATTGTTTTATATTATTTAACTTTCTGCTGTCGTTTATTTGTTATGTAGCCACAATAATAATATTATTCTTTACACTGTGATGGTACACATTAGTTCAGCTATACATTTAAATAATATAATATATAAATATAGCATAATATTATTATAAATACCTACACGTCTTACACGATTTTTGTCAGATCACATACGAGAAACTATAATTTTTGTTTTGGTTATAGATCAAACGAGTGTGACATGGTCAGAGGAGAGTGTACCCAAACATACGTACCATACTTGTTCCTGGTAATACCTTTGGGGCCGGTGACGCTGACCGGCCAGGATTACGTGCTCGTGGAAAGTGGATGTGTATGCAAGCCAAAGGGTTCCAGGTCCACAGCACACGAATTGGTATCTACAATTCCGGCGATGCCTCGTCCTTAGAGCGCATTAAATGTATGCATACATAGGAAATCAGCCGTTTAAACGTCATCGTATATACCTACACAGAAAATACACCTCGCCGTTTAAAATATATATTTTATATCATGTCATATTATTGTCGTATATAGTCCATATTATATACAATGATAAAATATTAAGATACCGTATAGTATTATGTTACAGCGTGTATACAGGTATACAAGGTATATATATATATATACAAGGTATCTACTATTCGATAAAGTCATGAAAATATATAATCGTTCAAAAAACGAATATCTAGTTAACTCCATGACGTAAGACACCCCTACTTATAATATTATGTATTTCGTATCTATCCGTTATTGTTTAAGTACCCTGTACCCATATACGCGTGAATTTAAGTACAGTAGCGTCACACATTTTTTTCTTTAGAGTTATTATTGAAGTTATATCTACCCACATCCAAAAACTTAAGACCATGAAGTAGAAAGTATGCTCACGCATCTAAAAACTATACATGTACCTTCCTAAGTGGCAATTTTTAACTTACCCTTGGGGAATAAAAATTCTCATGACGTAACTGCAGTATATAATATATTAATGCACATATATACTTACGTATGGTATATTTTAATATTATATTGATGATATAAATTACACGATTAATGATTATTATTGATGTAATATAATGCTCAACTTATGCATTGACGCCAAATATTTTTAATTTATTATGCGTTTACAATGGATTTTATAATACTATGTTGTTCGTTTTTTAGATACTGTATCAACTAACAGTGATTATTTTACATTAACACTGCTGGTATGCTGCACGGTTTTTTTTTAAATCTATGTGATACTATAATCAATTCATTTGATATGTAAAATAATAAATTAGGTTAGTTAATAATCTTAAATTTAAATCAATGTTTTTTTACCAAAGTATAACATGTATTATAGAGAAAATATATTATTAACATTTTAAGTTTCAACTGTTCAAGTAATCAGATTCAATTACCTACAAACAATATGATAGACATTATTTTTTTTAAGAATTGTAAAACTCTAGTGGTAAAATACTTAATGAAAATACAAAAATAAGTAGTATATTATATAGGCATTAAATAATATAAATATAAGGAAAGCGGTAGGCGTATACTTAAAGAGATTGACAATTATACACAGTATACCTATATAAATGTAAAATATATTATATTTTATAATGTAGGTACATGCTCAATAGTCTAAAGAAAATGGACATGGCCTACAATAACATCTTACATGATGTATATTTTATTGCATTTATATGATTTGTATGTACATAAAAGTAGTTAATTTTATAGTAAATTAAATATTGTACAATAGGTGCTTTTTGTAATTTATTATTAATAAATTAGATATTATATATATATATATATGTGAGTGTGTGCGTGTGTGTGTATTTATAAGCAGATAATAAAAGAAATTATATTTGATCAAATCGTTTGTATTTTGCATAAATTATTTCATATTGCTACCTAATATTGATCATATAGAATTTGTTATATACATCGAAAATGTTTACAAATTATAAAATTATAGCATATTAGTCCATAATTTTCAAATAATAAAAATCTTCATACATTTTAAACCTATTATTTTCATTAAACGAACTAATATAATTATTATAATATAGAGAAGTGTTTTCCAAAGTATGTGCCGTGAAATTTGAAATGTGTGCCACGGCAACTTAAACTTTTTTTATAAAAAAAACATTAAATAATTAAGATGCTAATAATACATTGCATATTTCTGTAATTATCGGATACTCTGTTTTAATAAAACTCCAAAACTGGAACAGTTTAGGTTCATTAGATTTTAATTTCAATGAAAGATCAGATTGAATAGTTCTAAAAGTTGTTCTTGCTCAACTAATCCTAGATGCAATATAATTACATCTGATGTTACTGCAAAAGAATTGCGCACCCAATCATATTCGTTAATAGGCAAAGATGAGAAGTATTTTTTTATTTTAAAATTATGAGATGATTTATCATCAAATCAGATGTTACTGGAGAAGTAAAATCTGTAGAATCTGGATCAACATCTGCTGTTAATGCGGAAACATTTGCAATTGTTTTTTTTTTCTACGTGTGATATCTAAAGATCAATTTTCCTTAAAAACTCATTTAATTTACCAGACGATGTTAATACGTTTTCATCTTTACCTTGCATATTGGAATTAAGGATATTTAAATGGTTAAAAATATCAGATAGATAAGCAAGTTTTGAAGACCATAATGGATTATTATAATTGAGTTACGAAATCGCTGTTCAGGTTTTCATTATTGAATAATTGCAACAACTCATTTTTCATTTCATAAAATCTGTTTAAAGCCTTTTGATAACCATCGAATTTCAGTATGTACTATGTAAAACTAAAAATTCACACTATACAATATACAAGTACAGCTATCAAGACTCAAGAGATAATAAAATATTATTACCTAATAACGATAATAATACTKGACATCATTATATACGTATTATTCGATAAATAGATAATATTTATCAAAAGTGTGCCTGGCTTATAATAACTAAAAATAATGTGCCGCGATGGAAAAAAGTTTGGAAACCGCTGCTGATATAGAGGAATAAGATGAAACAGCATGTATTGTTTCCGCTTTACAAAATTTGTTCAAAGTATTGTTGGTACAACATTGTAAATATAAAATTATAAACATTTAGCAAATTCAATTTAGTATTGTTAACTTTCATTTTCATAATATTATTAAATTAGGCATAGTATGAGTGCTGAGTAAATAATAAGTCTTTCACTAAAATACTTTTTATATTAAACCTAAAGGTGAGAATATTATCTAAGGCATCTTTTAAGTTTTAAGTTTGTCTTAACTTAATCGATAAAAGAAATGCCTATTTAAATTAAGAAGTTAAATCAAATTATTATGAGCATTAGAAGTTCAAATTTTTACAACATTGGATGTTCGCAGCCTCGCAAGGAACGATTTTCGTATTTTTTTGTAATTCAAAAACAAATGACTGTTGATTGATATTTGAAATTTAATGTATAATAAATTAACTCACCCTTATTAAACTTTAGATTTGTTGTCATACATTCGATGATAAAGGAAGAAGAAATAGGTTTAATATAAAATATTAATAATAAGATTGATTGTAAAACTGTAGAAATTTCCAAGTAAAGGCTATTTTTATTTAGTGCAATCAAGTTTGGCATCAACAATAAAAAATTTTAATGACGCCCCAAGCCCCTAGGTCATTATGTTTCGAAATAGGTTGATAGGAGAATATGGGTAAAATTCTCACTAATGTCCCCATTCCCTATTTACGAAAATGCCTATTAATTATCATTATAAATTATAGTATTGTTCATTGATAGAATACGACCATAAAAATAGTTTTAATTTTAAAACCAACATACCTAGGTACTCTAAAATATCGCACACAAAGTTCATTATCGACGTTTATGCTTCTTCCTTTGATTATGTTTTGACATAGAATAAAAAAAGGTATTTCGTATTTTACTTTTTGAGTCTATAAAATACAAAGGAGCATATGAAATTTGAATAATAAAGAATAATTAACTATTGTTTTCACCTACCTACTATACTTTTAGCATCAAATTTATTTACCCGTATAGTTTATAATAATATTATATACATTTTTAAAAAACAAGATACTTAATGATATTTATTTAATATATACTTAAATGATTGGTTATTTGAAAGTCTTTGCCTTCGACCATAGAACACAATATACACGATCTTGAAAAAAAGCAAAAATTATATCGCCTGGACAGGGGCTCGAACCCTGGACCCTTAGGTTAAAAGCCTAATGCTCTACCGACTGAGCTATCCGGGCTTGTGATTAAGAAGGTATAAATTGATAGATTTCAAGAAAATATGTTATTGTCAGACATAATATTATTAAGAGGATGTCACACTCGCATATATGTTGTCTTCGTCTTTCAAGTACGTAACATACCAAATATTAAGTTTGCAGCTCCAATTTAGCTCCGTTAGCTTAAAATTTAGAAAGAATTGACCGATTATAAAAATTAAAAATAACAATATTATCTAGGTTATCCTTGTCACAGAGGCTTTTTAAGCTTTTTACTATATTTTAATTTTGAAGCGAGTTTTAAGTATTTTAAAATTGTAAATCTTTTGCACATCTTTAAATGATTATAACTCACTTCAAAATTAAAATACAGTAAAACTCTCATGATCTCGTCTAAATAATAATTTTACCTTTAAATTTTATAAGAGGTCAATTCACTTTAATTTTCAAACGAACTGAGCTAATGAGCTAAACGTAAAATTTCCTATGTTACGCACTTTTGAGACGGAGATAACAAATGCGAGTATCACAAGTAGTACAAGATCTGTTGTTGTACCTACTATGATCAATAATATTAATATAATGATTGCTGAGCTATTGAATAATATTCGTCTCCATAATAGGTATTACTTGTGATATATGGATAAAACTATTCTGTAAATAGTGTAAATGCTCCTAGACGGCTAGACCACACAATGGAATATTTATGTACTACCTATATGATTATATCCTAATCGCATTCTCAAAATATTTAAGAGCCCCTCAACGATTTACTGCAAACAATTTGACAACATTAATGTTTTTAGCTTATTTATTTAGATAATATAAGCATGACAAACAACTACTGGCAAGTCGGCCTAACGCCCTAACTTGGTAACTATTATATTTTTTTTATATTATCTTTAACTGTGGTCGCCATTGTCGGGTGTGTTGTGTTTTTTTCTTCAATGAACATGAGTATTAATGATAACAGGAAAACATTTTGCCCATTTCGGTTAAAATAAATAATAATTAAGTCGCCTACAAAGTCGTTTCCAGTATAGTAAGTACCTACAACCACAGAATAAGACAATAAGCTACAACATTAAGATAGTAAAATATTATAATATATTCTGTGCTTATAAGATAAAATGATATCATTTCACGCGCCAATAGTGTTGTTTTTTTTATCATTTTAACTGTGATATTTTATTCCCTGGCGATACCTTGATACTCTGATACGTAATGTGATCCCTATTTAGTATTTACTATTTATCAATTTAATATTTATAATTTTAATTTAACAACTAGTATTTAAGTTGTTACTGATCATTGTTGTTCAACTGTTTACTCGTGTATGCATTATTTTACTATTTTTAGTCGTTATTACATGTGCTTCTAAAAATCCACTGATATCATACATAGGTGTGTATTACAATTGACTACTGGCGTCTGGCCCAGGCCACTGACTACAATTTTATTTAGTTTTCTGTAATCTTTATTTTTTGGTATTGAAACTAACTGAGTTACTAATACCCATACAATTGCCAATGTTTTCTGTTATGTATCCGTTTGAAGCTGTGATCTTTAAATTTTAAAATGTCTTCTTAGTATTGTATGGAAATTATGGATCCCAATAATTTACCACACCATGTGTATCTGCACAAGGACCACAAGTACAGATTGAAATTGGGATTTTATGCAGCGCCCAGCAATCCAAAAGCGTTTTCTAAGGCTATTAGAGATGAACTTCACAATTTAAAGTTTACATACTGTTCTGAGTAAGTTGAAAGTTCATATTGTTATATGTTATCTTATATTTATTAATTTCTATTGTATTTTATATTAATTTTTAATTATTGTCTATGTTAATATTTTCAGTTTAAATGGATTGATTATGGGTTTTGGTAAAATAAGTTCAAACGAACTTATTGCAGCTGATATCAGACATTGCATTAATGTAGTTGTCAATGTTGATGTATATATATTCAGACCTCCAATTGGGTCTATAATTGAAGGTAAGTCTTAAAAGCTCAGAATTAATTTTAAATTGTGAATTAGTCAGTATGTAGGCTTTTCAATGTGATACCTAGGTACTTTAATATATTTGGTTTCAAAATCATTAGTCTGTACTCCTCTTAACTGACTTAAACATTAACTTTCTAGATAGTATATCTATCAGCTTAAAATTTAAAATAATATGTATTTTATACTGTAATAGTATTGTTAATAAYTAATAAGTTTTCTTTTCTTTGATATTTTCAAATAGTAGAGAATAACAGTTATCAGAAGGTTCTTATATTGCAAAAAATTTTGTCCAACGTCCATAGAGGTGTTTGGTGCATATTTAAAATAAACAATTTTATTAGCACTCAAATCTCCTAATTCATCTGTTTCAAGTACCGTACTGTAAAGTACTGTTTCTCAGTACCTTTTAAAATATTTGAAATTGTATAAAGTATAAAGTGTATTAAAACCTTTGTTTTTTTTTTAAGGTTTTCCACTACTGATTTTATAATCTGATTGTGTATTAATTGCCATCATTATGTCATTATGACTTGTAGTATTAATCCTTGTTTTTCAAGTCGGGTAATTGATTTAGATATATTTATAAAGTTTGCTTTAATAGTACCAAGTTTAAGTAATAGCTATAACTTTTTCAGGACAATTTATTTCTATTTGATTCCTTAGTTTTCCTTTATCTAGTTGATACAATTGTTTGCTTAATATTTTCTGTGTCGATTAAAAATAACTACCTAAGTACTTGATTTTTGATAAACCATCAAAATATGCACTTAAAACTTGATCACAAAATGTTATGAAATGTATTTTGTACTAAGTGTACAATAAAGTTAACTAGATGAAATATGCAGATGCGTGAAAGTCCTTGCCATAGTTATGACCTACCATTAAAATAAGATGATAATTAAATGAAAAAGTTCCACCGGTATTTTTTTTTTTTTTGAGTGAACTAAATATATAAACAGCTTATTATTTTAGGAATTTTATACACTACAACCTAACTTATATAACATAATATGTATTATATTTATTTCTGGAAAAGATTAAAATGGTATTTTATTTTGTTTGATATATGTGTTTAAAATAAAATTGTTCATTTAAATAATTCTACAGTTTTACTTTAAGTGGTCAGTATTCATATAGAATTCTTAATTTTGAAAGTTTTTTGATTTAATTAACTTTATGGTATGAATTAATAGTATTATTGTGTTTATTCTTAATCAAATAACTGATTTTTTTTTTTAGCTGTTGTAAATCAAACTAGTGATAACCATGTYAGTTGTTTGGTGCACAATTTATTCAATGTTTCTATAGTACGACCTGAAAATACACCGTACGACCACTGGTCAGGATCTAAAATCAAAAAGGACGATAAAATTGATGTGAAAGTTTTATCTTTTGATCTCACAAAAAAACTTCCTCATATTACAGGAGAAATAATTAAAAAGTACTTTCTAACTTAATTTGTTATAATATCATAACAAAAATTAACTATCCTATTTATTTATCTATTTTGTTTTAATTGCAGGAAAGATGAATGTTATGATCTTGAAGATGTTCAAAATAATAGTTCTTCTATGAAATATCCTTTCTCAAAAAATAATGTAAGTGATGTTACTAAATCTTTTAATAAGAATAGTGCAAGTACTTCAAAAAGTTTAGCAAGTGATTCAGAATCTTCAGATGAAATGGACAATATGATAACTAAGTCTAAAATATATGCTGATGTATCTACTAAAAAATCACCAGTATCAATTAATACTACTTTTAAACATGGACAAAAAGCAGACAATGCAGTTAGTATTTCAAAATGTTTATCAAGTGATTCTGAATCTTCAGATGAAATGGACAATAATATGATAACTAAGTCTACAGCATGTGAAAATAAATCTGCAAAACCATCTGTATCAACTAATACCACCATTAAGCTTCAGGACACCGCTGATAATTCTTCGATATGTTCATCATCTGATTCTGAATTTTCATCTGAAATTAAAGTTAATTTAACCAATATTAAAGAAGGCAATGAAAATAAATCTACTAGAACATCATCACTTATTCTCTCCAATAGCAAACATGTTAAAAGTCCATTATATAGTTCTACTCCTATTTTAAATTCTGAACATTCTGTAAATAGTATCAATTTAATCAGAAACAAGCAACTAGAACAATTAAAAAAACATTTGGCTAAAAACAGTGTTGAAGAACGAAAATCATTGGATTCTGTCAAAGTACCTAATCAGTTTGTTAAGGATAAACTTTCTCAGTCTTTGAATATTTTAAAAAATAATGATAACAATGAAAATCCACTTGAAGTACTTAATGCTTCAGTCAATACTAAAAACAATATGGGTAATGTTCATAAAATAAATCAACATGGTAACCTTCAAGGTGTTTCGGGTGTAAGTGACTGTGAGCGTAAACACAAAAACGTTACAGTTAGTAATTCATTTTTAAAGAAATCTGAAAAATCTACAAAAACAATTAAAAAACATAAAAAATCAAATGAAATTGTCGATGCAATTTTAAACTCAATTAGTACTTCTAAAAAGACGAAATCTAATTCTAGTATTACCAATAATTTGGTTGATTCAAATAACAAAAAAGAAGAAAACACTGTATATACTCAAAAGAAACATAATTTAGATAAAGGATTACTYATTAATGAACCAGCAATTAAAAATTCTTTGACATTAAATTTGAGTACAAAAAATATTAAAAGACAAGATACTCCCCTCAAAAAAAATATGGATGACAGTGAAAACCAAACTAAAAATAAAATATTTAAAAAAAGTTCAAATATTAAATTATCGATGATATCCGATTCAGATAGTAATTGTAGTAAAGATATTAAATTACCTATTCAAAATTTAAGTTGTACAACTAATTTAAAGAAAGAAGTTGAAAGTGACACAAGTAGCTCTGATGATGAACTTTATTCAAAACTTAGACAAAATATATCAAAAACACGAATAAATACAAGCTTTTATAATGAAAATCCTAAAAACTGTTATGATACAATAGATTATAGTTCTGATGAAAGTCATTCATCTTCTAAACTTTTTTATAATGCATCTAAGTTGTTTACAGATTCAATTAAATCAAAAGTATCAAAACATGACTCTAATAATCTGTCAGAAATTTATAGCTTTAACAAAAACAATCTGTTATCAAACAAAAAAATGGTTAAAAAAGATAAAAAAAAAAAAGAAAGAAATGAACAATCTGTACAATCTCAATCTTCTAATAAAATGGATATTATAAAACACATTTTGGGTGGAGATTTCAGTAGTGATGATGATGATGTTACAGTTCCTAAAAACAGAACTAGCAATGGGAAAAAAGCAAATGAAAATGTTTCTAGAAAAAAATCAACTTTAAATGTATCAAAACTAAATAAAAATGATGAGTTATTGAATACAGGCATTTCAAACCCATTTTTAAAAATATATACTGAAAACATATCAAGTTCTGATGATGAAACATTTATGATAGATTTAATGAAAAAAAAAAAAAATACATCTGAGAAAAAAAAAGTAAATACTTCATCAGTAAATGAAGAAGAGAAAAAAAATGTTTTAATAAATCAGGTATTGGATTCCATAAAACATAAAAATAAAAAACAAAAACAAATCGTGCCTGTTTCACAGAATAACCCAAAAGCATCTGAAAGTAAAAAAACACTTTTTAAAAATGACAAAATAACAAAAGATAAACCTATAGTTAATTCTAAAAATAAAAAAAGTATTCCGAATAACTTAAACATTTCTAATAGAGAACCTAATATGCCAAATTTAAATATTTCCCAAAAAGTTAAATCATCACAATTAAATATACAACCTTCATCTGACGAGAGTACAGATGAAGAAAAAAATGTAATAAAAGAAATTTTGAAACAACGAAAACATAAAAAAACTAAAAAAGCTACTGTACCAGAAAAATCTATGAAAATTAATATTTCAACAAAATCAAACAAACAAAACGAAATCGAAGAACAGTTGCATACGAAATCTAAATCCCAAAATGTATCAATGACAGATGAAGTAAAGAGTAATGATTTWAAAAAAGTAAAGAAAAGACGAAAAGAAACCAAGGATAGCCTTTTAGATAGTATAATAAGTGCTTTAGAAAGTTCTTCAGATGATGTCCCTATTAAAAAGAAAAAAAAAAATCATAAATTGCCTATTGTAGAATCACATGATTCTAAAGATAAAAATGTTGATGGTTATTTATCCGAGGTTAAGATAAAGAAAAAGAAAAAATCTAAACATAAAGACAATGTTAATTTAAGTGATTTAATTGTTAAAGATGTTAAAAAAAATCCAGCAAAAGTAGATAATACATCTGTAAAAGTTTCAAAAAAAAAGAAAGTTATAAGTGATCCTGTTCTTTGTGAAAATCAAAGCACTGACAAATCAAGTAAGAAAAATACTAAAATATTTTCAAAAAGTGATATAAAAAAGTTTATGTCAACTCAAGATAATACAGATTTAGATAAATTGTATAACTTACTTAACATTTAACTCAATCTTAAGTTTTAACTATTTTTATGATTAATTAACTACYCTTATGTTTTTACGCTAAGTTAATTATATTATTCGGATGTAATTTTTAAATGTTGAATAATTTTTTATTAAAAATAAATTAAAAGGATTAAATTAAATATGTTTTTTATTTTTATTTATTTATTTATTACTATATAGTTTATAATGAGTTAACTTTATAGTTTTGAATTTATAACATAGAATAAATAATATATTTTGTTTGTATTATAGCTTATAGTTATAGAAATCAGAACTGATTATTGATTAAATATATAATTGTATTGTTTAAGGATAAGATTTATAATTTATTGCCATGGCCAGGATTGAGGATAGTAATAATTATAAACTATTAAAATATGTATTCTGATTAAAGAATTCATGACCTCGTCTGTACAAATGTTTAAATACTTATTTTGAATTATACTTCATTAATTGTCATATTTTAATACAGCGTTGAACTCTATGTAAATTGTAAATATATAATATTTCTACATTATATACAATTGTAATTTGTAATAGTTATATTATATCTAGATGTGACCAAGGATGGATGGGCTTATACCAACCTATTGAGTTTTACATATTCACCGGCCCATAATAACATCTAAAAATGGAACGAGCTCTTAAGCGGCTAATCAAATTTTAAACATTAATTTATTTTTACCACACTTACACAACTGATCCACGGATATTTTCTCAGTATCTCACCTAACCAATCTGAGCCAGSTTGTGACCAATTTTATAGTTTTTAATAAAACAGATTTAAATTTAATCAAAAACATTTATATGAAATAATTTTATAAACTTATCCAAATCACATAATAATGGAAACTCCTACTAAGTATTAGGTGTAGTGACCCACTGAACTGTGACCTCTGTATGCTCATGTTTTTGCATTTGCCTGTGCTAAATTTCTTCATACCCTGGCGTTAATATTGAATTCAGGGGACAAATATGTTCAAAATGAGTCAATAGCACTAGTGAACTTGTACATAATAAATACAAATCATACAATTCATTATTTATATTATCATAGTATACCAAAATATTCATGTTTCGAAGCAATTATAATAGTTGATAACAAAAATCACTATATACATTGTCGAAAAATATAATTAGTTGTCAATGTACAATAAAAATATCTATTAAAAGAAATATATGTCGATCTTCTATTCAAGTCCGAAAGAAATAATACTTAATAATACATTAGTTTAAGTAAATAACACTAGATGATGGCACGGTATAGGTAAATATTTTACGGTAAAGAGTTGACACTGCTCGAGTGACGAGTACTATCCAAGCACGTTTCATTATGTCCATGTCCCATGAATTAAGACTAGATAGTAGATATGTTATTATTACATAATATTATGAATTAAAATTATACAAACATCTGAACCACCCCATGCTCCACAACGCACTACGACGTCAATCACCTACGGTTTCGAAATTTGACGATTTTTTGAAAGAACAGATAAACCGTCCTATAAAAGTCCCAAGAAAAGACCCGTCCGACGTAAGTGACACACTGACCCGCGAACGCGTTCGGACGATTCGAGGTTGACGAATCCTTCTCATCTGCGCTCCATGACAATATGCCACCGTCCTGCGTCTCGTCATATTTGGTCGTGTCCCGCTTGACCAGTGCACTTGTCGTCGTGTTCACAGCGCTGCTGCCGCAATCCATTTCCACGCGAAACGACGGCCACTCGCCGGAAAACTGTTTTCCGTACGCCGCCAAGTTGACGTCCTGCGGCATCGACCTGAACGTCCATCGTCCGCTCAGTCGTTCCAGCGGGCGCACGTGAACCGTCGATGGCGGTCGCTGCACTGCCAAGTCCAGCGCGTCCACAATTCTTGACGGTGACCGACGAATGTCGCCGCCGCAGCGGTAGTCATATGCTTCGAAAAACTCTGAACGCCGTCTACAGTTGTCGAAGTCGAAGTCGTCCATCTTTATTATATTATATTATTGTCGGATTAATACATCAAATGATGATCATTTGTCGTACCTATATAAGACGGTAATACGGTAKCTTATTTAATAATGTTCAGGGATGCGAAAAAGGTATGTGATATTATAATATCAATTATAAGATATTTGCAACATTTAACGATAAACAACAATARTATTATAAACCTATACCTACTCACCTATTGAAATTCTCATTCGTTAAAAACAAAAACTGCGTCTATTACCTATGTATATATATTACATTGATATAGATATACTCAATTCGATCATAATTGTACGAGTTCRAAAACACCAAGACGATTATTGTGATTTATAAATTATTATATTTTATGACAGATATCATCGGAGCACAATACAAATTATAAATCATTTACGTTGTTGTTGTTTTTTTTTTTTTTTAATAGATAATTCAAAATAACTATTATAACACTGTCAATTATTTTCATGCTGACAATACGTCATATTATATTATTTTACCACGGAGCAATTAAATATTATACATTATAAATGCATAGACAATCGACTATCTATGTGTATCGTGTATTTATGTATTTTTCTAATCACTATGCACGTTCATAATATAGTTGTATAAAACTCCTTTGACCTTTCTATCCTAATAATAACTAAATCAACATCATCAATACAACGTTTAAAATTATTCTAGTAATCAGTTATCTTCATTTCAATTGGTAATCCGTGTTGATTCATGCAGATATACATCAGTACAGACAGTACATCACAATACGTACCACTGAAGAATTTAATAATATATATTTAACCCCCTCCCCTCCGATTAATMTTTAATTTTGARCGATTTCCATGAGATTTGTATTAGTATATTCAACTAGTTACTGTAGWTCCACATCAAAAAGCCAAAAGAAATAAATAGTTAAGTAAAACATTTTAAACTGCTCCCATTAATAAATACTAAAAAGCTCATGAAAAGAGCCAAAATATATTATATTACATCAGCTCTAAAAAATAATATGAATATTTAAAAGTAAAAAATTGATTTTATGTAAAAATTTCAGTTCTTCCGAAATTATTTTAAGGTATACCTATATGATCAAAATTAATATACAAATAACCGAGGAAATTGTKCTGCTGTATTGTAGGTATATTGAGTGTTCCCCGGCAAGTGCAGGGTACCGCATTGCTGTCCAAATAAGTTGTCGTGTGGTTCATCATAATGGATGTGTTAAATTTTAATTCAATTACAGTTGTGGGTTTAAGGGGGACTATGGGGGCATTAGCCCCCCTCTTGGGACTAAGCTATTTATTTTCTTAGACAAKTATTATGATTTATGATAAACCTATCAATAATTATTATAACATATCGTCATTGAAGAATATGGTTCCACAAGTCACCAGATAATATAATTGAACGATTTTCAAAAGTTAAAAAAAAGAAATTTGGTGTTAACAATACATTTTTAAATCAACAGTTCATTTTTTTTATTAATTTAATATATAATTACTTTGATAAATGGTTTCAGATGAAAATTTATAAAAATACAACTATTTAAAATATGTTGTTATTGTGAAACAATTAACAAATACATAACAAAAAAAATGATTTACATAGCTAATATAAGTAAAAACATATTAACCATTTTTTTTTTTTTTTTTTATGTATTTGTTTCACAATAACACCATATTTTAAATAGTTATATATTGTTATCAATTTTTAAAGTGTACGTTATTTACAATTTTATATAGATTTAAAATACAATTACCCGCCCTTGTTCAATAATAAAACATTTTGAATTATTTATAGTAGACATTTTTCAAATTAGGTAGGTATTCTTGATTTTTGATTATCACTTACTAAAAAAGATTAAACATGTAATGCTTGGTACCTTTAGTTTTAAATGAAAAATCAAAAAATATTAAAAATACATAGGAACGATTATTTTTTATATGCATTTAAATTTCAAATATTGACTAAATTCATAAAAACTCGGGACATTTTTCAGTTAGAAATTTTTAAAATGTTTTCTCTTCGTAGCTAACATTGAAATTTTTTGTAGAAGATTCCACACAAATTATCCTACAGACCAGTCCTGTGTCACACGAGTATTGTATTATTGTATAAAAACAAAACAAACGAATAAAATACTGTACCTAATAGGTATAATAGGTAGGTATACCTAGTAAAATTCTCTTGAAACGTAAGTTTAACCTAATACGCAAATCGCTCACCTTGGAATACGACAGTCAAGATAAGAAACACTTACCTATTGGGTATTACTATTTAACTATTTAAGTACATAAAAAATAATAAAATATCTATAGTAATAGTAAATACTGAAACATAGTTTATACTTTTATACAAATAACCATTATTTTAATTCACTATGATTCAAAGTTATTTATAATACAATAACTAWCATTTTTAATTAAACAATAACATGATCAATGAGAATAAAAATATTGTTTGTATCCTGCTTATTTGTTTTATTGGTTACAAAATATCGTAAATGGAATATTTTATTATATATTTTTCATTGAATCGTCCTCCAAATCAAAAATTATTTTCTCTTTTTATTTGTTTATTAAAACGTTAAAATTWATTTTAATTTATTTTTTATTTTTTGAATGCTTCAAAGTTTTTAACCTATACGATTTATCTGCAGCGTTTGAGTGCGGTGTCCGCCACAACTGCCGATCCCGATATTGACATAATAATTTATTATCATGGCACCTTCACCGTGTTGTTCCAATATGTTTGACGCTGCAGGGAAAAGTACCATTACACTATATTATTGTTTATAAATTTATAATTATAGGTATATCGTATATAGTTTATGGTCTGTACTGTCCCAAATATGAGTTACAATTTGGACATTTGTGGTTAACAACATTGCACGAGTCCATACAGCAAGGAATTAGACAGCATCCAAAAGAACATCTAAAAATAAATGTAATTGTTCATAGTAGGCATACAATAAATCAATATCTGCTAATTTTAATTCAGTAAAAATAGTAGACAAACATAATAATAATAAATTTAATATGTAATAAAAAATGAAATTTCGGTTCAATGCTCACCCTACGATAAACAATAGTATACAACTCCACCAAGCAGCCGGTTTTGCTTTTCTAGAAGTACTGGTAAATATTGTTTTGCCACATGAAGTACATATAGTTTGGGTACTACTAGGACCTAGTGGTGCTACAGATGTTGACGATTGAACCCCTATACAATCACAAAGAAAACAAAAATTGATCTCATTTTATATTACTTATTTGAATACACCACTAAAAGAAGGTTTCCAATACCTACTCAACAAATTTAAATATATAATATATTATTATTATTATTATTATTTTTATTATTATTATTATTATTATTATTTATTATTATTATAACTGGAACTTAAAAAATAAACAAATTAAACAGACAATGATAAAACAATAATCTTGTATTAAACATAAAATGTTTGTAAATTAAAAATAAATCTAGAGACAGAACACAAAATAATCATCATACGAAAATTAAATTAGACAGTGGTGATTTTTACTTACAATGAATATTTTGGGGAGGAGCTGATGGCATCATTTTTCTTACTCTGGTGTTGAAAACAAACAAATTTGAAGTGTGAAATAAATAGGTAGGTGTATATAKTATGTTAAAAGTTAAATTTTATGGTTTCAGGTAAAAAATTGAATAGTCTAATACGTGAACGTGGGATTAACGAATAATAACTATGACAACATCATGCGAATAACTGATCATATTTGAGACTTGAGTGCGTTCATCGTAATATATATGATTATTAAATGTTTGATAAGTGATGAGTAATTGCATATGCACACGTTCACTGTTCAGGAACTTACCATTTTTAATTTCTGAGTGGAGCTATGAATATATTGATTATGCAACAATTTGTTTTCATAGTGAGTCAACAATGTTTTTTAACATTATAGCGATCTTGCGGACTGAAAGTGGATCTAGAGATACCTAGAGGTGGTGTGGTAAAAATGAATTGACGCAATATATTTATTATTAATATTAACTAATGGCTTTATTTAATTATATAAACGTCTTAGAATATTACACCTGTTTATTATTGTGGACACTCGAGATATTTGTGTCCARAAAGTAGGTGGTATAMGATTACTCAAATATATTTTCCTAATCCAAAACTTGTTCGATTGAAATATTTTTAAGTWAAAATTATGATTTCAAAAGATTTTTTCTGCTGGTGTGATGGTGTGAAGGTGCTTTCGGTGGCTCTGACAGTTCACTTCTGAATATGGTCCATTCGGGTAGTCTCCCCTATATATAGGTCAACTCTCTACCTCTCCTCTCGTAAAGATGAGATAATGCTGTCCCCATGATTATCGGGAAATTCGTATGAATTTCAGGAAACGACAACGATCCATGTTCGTATAGTGATAGTCCGATTGTCGTGTTGTAATATCTATTATATTACTGTGCTGTCGTTATTAAATAAACGCTTAGTGTCATTACGATAAACGTTCATCTTACATATAATTTAATTAATAATCCCTTATTGTAGCTACGCACCTATTTCCGTGTGTTTATTTATGATTCGTCTATTTTCGCCGTTTCGTCTATGATTTATGTTTTTTCCCTCTCATATTTACTCAACGCTATATTATTTGACTTTTCTTAGGACTATAAAAATRAGTTTCTGAGTTTCTCCCTAAGCCTATAATGGATAATACGGTGCATTCTACTAGTTTTTTACTCGAGATCATTACTTAATTGGTCCTTCTAAAATTTCATATGGTGTTATATAGACATTTAAATCATATATTATAATAATATATTATATTTATGTTATAATAATTATGTATGATATAATTATTATGATATATATTATCTAGGTGGAACGTGAGTACATAGCAACATAATTGGACAAAAAAAACTTCGAAGATTGTTAAAATTATTGTGATATTATTATTAAAATAATTGTTCTTTTATTGTAATAGGTATATATATGTACGAAAAAATAGACGGATTCCGCTCAGTACAGAAAATTATATATTACATTTTTAGTATCTACAATCCAAAGTTATCTGTTTTTCAATTACAACAAAATAAGGAAGTCGTACGATGAGAATTAATTTTTTTCCCAACCTGAGTGGATGATAAATTTTAACGATAAATAAATATTACCTACGTATAATGTACAAAGTATAGCTATTCAGATAACATAACATAATATTCATTAATCATTAGTCAGAAACTCACAGAAGTCAACAAGTATGAGATATGAGTTAAATAAAAATAAAATACACTAAACAAATGATAAAGGTCTATTTACACATAACCGTTCTATATATTATTGATTCAGTGTCCGTATTACCGCTCGTTCCGTATCCGTCGTTTTATGTTTGTTTATTTGTTATGAAATACCTAGGCATATGTTATAAAATTACACTGTCCGTCAACCATGGGCATAGGATGAGGGGGGACTAAGCAGTCCCTAAAATATCCAAATTTTCGTACTACACACATAGTCCCAAATCAGTCAAATATAAATTGTAAGTATACTATGTATACATTTTATAATGTATTTATACATTACATTTATATTTACAATAAATAATTTTATTTAGGTAAATAAAGTAGTACCTCAAATAAACAAATTTAAAGGTTCTTTAAAAAAAATTTGTGAAATAGAATTTTTTTGTATATAAACCATTTTAAGTGTACAAAATGCATGAAAATAATAATACATAATATCAGTACCTAAATAAATAAAAATAAATTTAAATTACCTATATTAAGTATGTGAATTATAGTTTTTTTTTTTTATTCTTAGTGGTCGAAGAACTTTCTGATATCCWGAATTAATATTGTTATATTAAAATTTTATAGAATATTATTATAAGGGTTATTATAACACTTAACTTTTGTACTACACACTGAATTTTCGTATTACACACAATTTTAGGGACTGGGACTAAGGGGACAATAGTCCCCCCAATTAGTRGTTCAGTCCCCTTAGGTTAGGTCAGTTCTCTTTTATCTAAGTATAATAATCTATGCTTTTAAATTAACATAAAATAGAATATACTTTAATATTACAAACATATATTTTGTTACACTAACTACCGGCCATCGCTGATTATCAAAAACAGATGATGCTCGGCGCAGTGCAGTGAAAAGAATGTTATCGCCGAATCGTTGAATCTAACCTAACAACTCAGCAGCTAATCGTCCAATAATTATTATTCCCTGTTTCATTTGTTCTCTGCATCATATGAATGATCTTTTTCAGTTATGAAGAGCATAAATAGATACATAGATCAGAAGTACAATGACAAATGATCGGTTCAAATCCCTCTATTCTACAAATTGAACGAGACTTATCTTCAGAAATAAAAACTGAAGATATTTTAAATATATTCAGTACACATAAACGTAGGATTGACTTGCATTTATCATAAGAGTAGGTAGGTACCTACATTAAAATAAAATGTTTTTATTTGACAGCTTAGGTTAATTTTATTAATCCTATGTCTATTTGTATTAAGAGTATTGATATATAATAAAATAAAACTTTTAAAAATGTTTTGTTTTTTTTTTTTTTAATGTAGGTACTCGCAACTCACTTTTCAGTCATAATTCAATAAATATACCTACATTGCATATTAATAGATTTACTATGTACATTTATATGTACTATTTATATACGTATATAACTGCAATGGCTATTGATGTTGTATTTCAATGCATTTAATTTTAGCATAGTTTAATAAAAATAATCAAGGACTTAAGTCCCCTGGTTAATTAGGGAATAATGCTACGCACTGAATTTTTTTTTATAGTTGAAAAAAAATGATCCAGCAGTATTTATGGTATTCAGTGGTGTTTTTTCGTCCAATGTACCAAGACATTCTAGAGAAACGATAAGAATCCTAAGAAAATATTTTAATTTATCATGTCTACATACTTGAGATTGACTTTCCCTCGTTTTATTTTTTTATTTTATCACCCTATCTAAAAAAAAACCCGGGCTTAATAACATACACTCACATAGACCATATATTGTATTATATTGTACTGTATTTATTACTGAATTACTACAAAGGACAATACAGCCATACAGGCAGATTGCTGTTGTTCCCCCGATATTCATATTTAAAAAATCAAAGTTACAATATAGTTTTAGTATATTACTTACTTACTAGATTTTTGTGTAAATTATTAATTACTAATTTCACTAGAATCCTTTGCTTTTAAGATCTTCCTAACAAATTCTAAAATCTAAATAGTTATCACTTTTACCTGGTAGATTTACATTATCTTCGTCCTGTTGTAAATTATGACGAATAATTACCGTAAAATGTTTTCTTTTTTAAATGGTCTAATAGATTGGTTGTGCCATTTGATTTTTTATAATGGTTCTTGCAGATCAAACAAGTAGCCACGCCAGGGGTATTAGGATCTCTTTGAAAATACTTCCAAACGATGGAAGAATTTTTCTTGGGAATTGACATTGCTAAATAGCTAAATTATTAATTAAATACAGATGTTATAAATATTGTAAAGTAATAAACTGAAAATTGTATGTACTTACTTTTAGTACTCTTTTACTACTTAAGAATTTAAACTCAGGCCTCTCGAAATAGTCGAATCGCGATTATCAATAATACCCTATATTTTGATAAATCAGCGGGGACGATAGTTTCAAAAGTAGTATCGGTCGATAGTTTCAATTGTTCGATAGTTTATAAAAACAACCGAATAAATAGATAGTTTAAAACTATCGAGTAGTTAGACAGTTTTCACTCGATATTGCCCATCATTAGTTGTAATAGTCAATAATCATTATGTGAAATAATGGAAATAGTTTGGTTCTGAATTAATTTAATTTAGTTCTAAACTTTTAGTTACATTTAAAAGTGGAATAAAAAAAGTTGGTTAAAATTATTTGTATTTTACATTTATGACGTAGGTGTAGSTCGCATAGTGGATTATTGTTACCAAAAATTCAGTATATAACAATAATTTTTTTCTTTACTAATTCCAAAAAATATCAGAATTATTGGGAACTTGATTGTTAATGTAAATCACTTTTGAAATTATACTTTTTACCATCTGTCTTATTAGATACTATTTCAGATTCATTGACTGCATAAAAAAAAATTTGCCTATCAATTTTTTTTTTCTATAGTTGATATCATTAGTTACCTATTAGTATACAAATACAATAATACTGTTCTTTGTTATTTGTGTATATTAAATAAATAAATTATAAAGCATTATTTTCCCATTCACACATTTTTCATTTTCATAATAAAATACAAAATAATGTAATTGGAATGTGAAAATCACAATTTGTAAACAATTTTTGTTCAATTTAAAATATATTATTTCAGATTTTTAAGCACTTAACAAAAAAAAAAAAATTATTTTCAAACATATTAATTCTATACTTCTTTTACAGCAAAATCATTATTTAAATTTATTACAAAACAATGTATAGATACTTTTTTCAAATAAATTATACTTTATGATTTAACAATAGTAATAATATTAATTTGTTGTAAAACAGTTTTACATACAAAAAAATATATATTTAACATCATTATAGGTATTCAATTTTAATTTATTGTAATCAGTAGGTAATAAAATAATAAAATGGCACCTTCATTTAAATCTCCTTCCATCATGATAATATACATGTTTGAGTGTAAAATGAAAGAATAAATATGAAGTTTAATATTATTAGTATTTAGTAGAAATAATACACTAACATTGAAAACAACCTATATTCAATTGTCATTTTAAATAATTAATAAACGGAGAAAAAAAAGGTATAATTTAAAGTTAAAACTCATATCGTTTTATATCATATTATTATAGTTTTGTTCTTAAGTTTATGGCCTGTACTGTCCCAAAAAATTGTCACATTTTGGGCATTTGTGGTTGACAACATTGCAAGAGTCCATGCAACAAGGAATTAGACAGCATCCACAAAAACATCTAAAAAACATAATATAATTTTACCAACATGGCTACATACAAAATGTAAATCATAATTCACTAAATTTTAAAAACATATATTTAATTCTGTAAAAATACTTAAAAGGACGCTACACAACCAGTGGCGTATTTACAATTTTTAATTAGAGGGGGGGGGTGTTATATCATAATGAAATAATTTATAAATTAGAAAATAGAAGGTATAAAATACTTAAACTCAATTCAACCTATTTTTATATTAACTATAGTTTTATTAAAATTATAATTGAAAATCACAAATTATATTATAAAATCTAGTTTTCTTTTTTTCTTTGCCAATTCATCAATAATTTATGGTCTCCAGACGCATTCAATAATTCTTTGGGGGACCCCCCCCCCCCACAAATACGCTACTGTACACAACCATTTGTTGTCTCAGTTTTACAGCTCATATAGCAAATTTACGCTAAAAAAATCACGTTTAGCTTCGTTAGTTTAAAAATTAGAATTAGAGTGAATCAACCTATTATGAAACTTGAAGGTAAGAACATTATTTTTGTTTTGTTGGAAATATTTTTACGATAATTCAGTTTTTAAGGGAGTTATGCACGTATAATACATTGTAAAATAAAAATACTCATAACTCACTTAAAAACTGAATTATCGTAAAAATACTTCCAACAAAACACAGATAATATTCTTACTATTAAGTCTCATAATAGGTCTATTTACTCTAATTTTTAAACTAACGGAGCTAAACATAATCTGCTGAGAGTAAATTCGCTATGTCACGCACTTGTAAGGCGGAGACAACAAATTTGTGTGTAACGTCCTCTTAACAATTATAAGACAATACATAATATATGAATGAAAATATATTTTCTAACCCACTGTTATTCTATTAAAGAAAAATTGTAAATGTTGTTTTAATACTCACCCACAGATACACATCAGTATACAACTCCACCAAGCAGAAGATTTTGCTTTCCTAGATGTATTTGTATAAATGAAATTTCCGCAGGCAGTGCATACAGTTTGTGTGCTGCTAGGACCCATAGGTTGTGATACTGCAGCTGGAGATGATTGGGGCCCTACTAAATATAGAAATAGTAATTATTGAAAACAAAGAGCACGCTAAACGCAAATGTGTTGTATCCGTTTTACAAGTGCGTTACATAACAAATTTTACGCTTAGCAGTTCACGTGTAGCTCTGTTAGTTTAAAATTTTGGGTGAATTGACCTCTAATAAAATTTGATGGTAAGATTATTATCTAGACAACCTCATATGCTTTTTATCATATTTTAATTTTAAAGCGAGTATTATGAGTATTTTAAGATATAAAAACTATTTAAAATTTTTTAATACTCAGAACTCTCCTTAAAATTAAAACATGATAAAAAGCATATGAGATTGTCCAGATAATAATCTTAACTTAAAATTGTATTTAATCTAAATTTTAAACTAACAGAGTTACACGTGTTCTGCTGAGCGTAAAAATTGCTGTTATGCACTTGTAAGACGAAGACAACATATCATATGTGGGTATCACATACTCTTAAGACCAGTGGCGGCTTGAACTTTTTTCCCCCCGAATCACGTTTAATATTTCTACACTACCCATCATAAAATATAGTTATTACTTATTACTGTAAATTATCTGCTGAGTACACATTACGGCTATATATTATATTTATTATTTATAATTTAATATTCAAATTACCAACCYGCAAAAATGTTTCGGTCTACCTTTTCCAACCATAGGTAAGACCCACCCACCCATATTTTTGTGAATCACATGATTCAAATATACTCCCTTCGAGCCGCCACTGCTTAAGACTTTAATACTTTATATATATCAATATCTATACAAAATGGTTCATGGTTGAATACTTCTATGTCGTCAATACACTATTATGTATAGTTTATTTAATTTTCTAATTTTAGATAGGTTAGGGAATTAATGAATCAATATTATTTATGTTTATTGGGTTATTGAATTTTTCAGTGAACTGTCGTCATGTCATGAGTTCATGACTAAAATAAGGATACAGAAATAAATTTTCGAGATACCGAGTTAAATAAAATTGTACATTTCAAGGGAATTTCTATTGGGTTTTAGGATCACTGAAAAATTTGAGATACGACATTTTACATAATGAGAATCTACCAATGGTTAATTGTATTGAATATATCAATGAATCTACTGCAGAARTTCTCAAATTGTGGTACGCGTACCCCTCGGGGGTACTTAAAATTTTAAAAGTGGTACAAAGCTGGCCAATAAGCTTTTAAATTAAAATAAATAATAGTAATAAATATTATATATTTTAGTTTAGTAACTAAGAAAAGGTAACCAAAAAATTGATTAGTAAAAAGGAGTATGTATAGTGTTCATAAAAGTTTGAGAATCCCTGATGGCCTGATCTACTGTAAAATTTGGTCTGAGGCGAACGACTTTATTTTGATTTCTATTATTTTAATTATTTCCCGTACTATAAATAGTGTTGATTCAAACATGAATACAATATATTATTATTAATATAATATGAAAAATGTTAAATTTCATATCTATGGGTTTAAACTTGTTCRATGACTTCCACGTCCGGTTATTTGAATACTTTAAATTATGATCATGGTGAAATGGTCAGTAATAATAATAATGTATATTAAAATATAAATATAATTTACGAACAAAAGAAATTAACTATGTATAAGTTTTATCAAATTTTTTATATGTCGCGGCACGTCGCGACTGTTACATACGACTCCTTCCAGCCTGCCAAGGCCAACGATAACAAAAAAATGTTAGTCGAGACGTGGGTGATTAATGGCGAGTGGCGTGTGGAATAACAAAATTATGTGTCGGTTCTTCATACCAAGAACAATAATATTAATTATCGATACATTTCGTTTTTCTATATTCACAATCATTATTGAATGGATCACTAACACTGAACATTAATCAATGATCAAAGTATTGAACGTTGCAATTTGCAAACATAAACCAAAAAGTAAGAAATGAGTCGCGAGTGTAAAAGGTATACAACATTTTAGACACGATAACACAAAAAAACATCCATCGAGATACATTAAAATATTACCGACTTTAAAGAAATATAATATTACTAACGACTAACCCCAGTACTCTAAAATAACTATGATCGCATCAATTCGTAATATTGTTATTGATAATAATTATGTATAAGAATCCACATTATAATATGGAATAAATTATAAATATTGGATCACTATTTGTAACTTATAGGCATGTGTTACACACATTTACACATCGGCAGGCATCGAACGAATCCGGTAAACCACTTGTTAATTGTGGACGTTGTGGTCTACCGATTACGGCACTCCAGTCTCCACAAGTGCATGGCAAATGGCGATRCGAGTGTAATTTGAAAACTATAGACTAGTAATTGAGGTTAATCACAGCAAACATACCACCACCCGATCAACCTCTGAACATCATCGTCTTCACCACTTTACTTAATGAATTAAAATTAATCTTAAACCCCTTCTTGTAGCAATGACATCACTAATATCCAAAATCGGAAATCCACATCACCTCCACTCATCAAATGTTTAATTTTTTACTGTGTTAACCAAGTTATCATTTTTATCTTAACTGTTCATGTATAGTAATCTATGGTTCATACTTACAAGTACTTATGTAAAAATTTAATTATAATCGTCGCGTTAATCCGTTAAAATTTTTGTAAGCTTCACAATATCCGTAGATATAGATATTGCCTATATTATGTGGCTAGGAATTTCTTATTTTTTTTTTTTTTTTAATAAAAAAAGTAATTGAAAGAACAGTTTCTTTTATTTGAGCAACATTTAAGTATAAAATACTCAATTATTATTACAATTAAACAGATTATAACAATTATCGGATGGGATGGAAAAATTCAGCTTTTTGCATACCTACTACGCTATCCACTGGGGCTGTTACCTACTGCACAGTAATTACCAAGCTCGTAATATCTAATAGACTCTCAAGGCTCTGATCTCAGTCCAATTACCAGCATTGGCTACTGTGCTTTATCATTATGTTAAATATTATATATTTATAGATACTCACATTGGATTTGAAACGGAGCTGTAGGCTGGGTGGTGATAATTTCACTCATCATTATTCTTTGAGTATGAATGCGATTCTATCACTGCAGATGAAAACAGACTTCAAACGCTTTAGAGTGTACACGAATTATTATTGCGTTCGATAAAGATATAGAGATAAAAAAAAAACCCTGAAACCAATAACGCGTAAATAGAACGAAACCAGAGTAGGTATATAGTAGCGTGGTTCACTACAACCGACTAATGGTAAATGGAGTAATGGTCCTAAACAGAGYCTGCTGTGACGCATTGTAGATGTCTCTCTGGTCTCTATAGTTTCCGCTGAGCGCGCAGTTCTCCATTCTCAGATAATAAAATGCATGTATTTGTTGTGTTTGTTTTATGCGTGTTTTGTGTAATGTGTTTACTTGTTCAAGATGTTGAGACGTTTGGGAATTGGGACGACCACTCCGAATGTCGGACGCCAACACAGTACACACAGAATAATAATATTGTTGCTTAGTGCTTAAGATCGTAAATATTACAATCGGCTGTGTCCAATAACGTGAGGATGTGATGGTATTCGGTCGGTGTTGGTTCGCCATTAGAATATTTTTTTCTCTGTTAAATCCACAACGACAATGTAACACAACGGCCGTTGGGTGTCATTAGAGTTATATAAAATTTAAATAATATAATTTATAATTATTTATGCTAAGATGCTTTAATTGTTGAGCCAAATTTGTATAAAGGTTAAATTAAAAAAATAAATGATTATGTATGTCGTACCTGTTGACTTAGTTTGTTTTTCCAAGGGTTTTTCCTATTGATAATAATTGTACTACAGAATAGTCTCACTGACACATCCGGTTATATTCGATCAAAACTGCATTTCCGTCTGTCGAGTGTAAAAAAAACGCATAACTCTGTTGTCGTGAGTGTACCTATAGGCTATAGTGGAGTAGATTATTAAAGCCATTTCTGCAGTTTCACATAAATATAAGACTTCTGACGAGACTGTGAGAAAGAGAATAGTCTCTTCTTATATAGTCCTGTATATTTTTGGAGAGTAGAGCCTGAGGTTTAGAAAATAATAAAAGATAAAAGCACATTCCACAAGCATATTATTTATATTATTATGAAGAACATTTCTCGATGACGGTAAAATTATCTGGGATAAACCAATAAATAAATAATAAATATAAATAATAAATATATTTTTAATTTTTATCTAATTGATTAAAAATAATATTATTGACGATTGGAACAACAGGCAGGCGGCAAGTCATAAGTCAGTACTCTGTATAGTCACTTGTTAGTTATTACTAATATAGTCTCATATAGCCATATAGACCATAGTATGAATTCCGGGAAAAAAGAATAATTAAAAAAAAAATTAAAATGCCTATATTAATTGAATTATGAATTATGACTTATGAAAATTAATAAAATATAAAGGGATATATAAAAATGCTATGAAAATTAATTTTTGGTTTTTAATAATACTGTGTATTATCATCAATATTTTCGAAGAGAAATAAAATATAAAACTGCTATTATTTTTAACTGAACAAAAGTTAATATTCGATATTTTAATAATTAGTAATTATTACCTACTTAACTCGATACTTAAAATTCAAAAAGTAAAATATAAAATATGTTCATAATATAATTATTTACTCTGGACTAATGTGAGCATATTATTGGAAATACAAAACTAAGTTTCAGTGTTTCACATAAATTCACATTATTTGTAATTAGTGAGTAAAGTGATCACTCACTATTTTTTTGTTTACACCCATTTACACGATCCACTGCAACTAACCATATAAATTACCTACATTTAGCTCTTTAAAAACGGTCGATGTAAACGTATGACATACTTRTCCATTCTATAATACTTAATATTTGAAATTGATAATATTATACACGTAATTCAACACACGAGTACACAAACTACAGTGTCTACACTAATCGTCAACTAAACTGATAATTTACTTATGTTTGTAGAAATCGTTATCAAAATATAATATGTTAGGTATCGATATTATTAATATCCGCTTATATCTAGATTCGTCCAAACAGCTTTCGCTATTTTAAGTTCGTGGTTTTTTCTTCCGCTGTTTTGACGGGATACATTATTTGATAATGCTGTGCAGTTCAGGATCTCAGTAATAGTGTTATGATTTTATTTTTTATTAATTGTTTATAATGACGTTATATTTTTTTTTTGAATTTATGTTATTTGCATTACTTAGTTGCTATTTATAACCTATATATAGTTACATAGTTAAATAGTACATTGTTAGCTTAACTTCTAATTATTTAAATCAGTTGATGCGGTTCTGTTGTGTTGACAAAATTAAAAAGTCTTTTGGCCGTCTCGGGAAGTCAGGAGTAGGTGCTAGCATCTCGTWTAATGTCTCCAGGAGTTTAAGTGTGATTTTATTAAAACTATAGGTTTAATTAATTTAAAATACTACGATAATTGACGGTGAATAAACGATACGGGACCGGGTGGCAGTATTGTGCAATTTGTGCTAAACATTTCCCACCTGTTTCTGGTTTTTGAACGGAAAAAAAAGGTTTAATTAGTTTTTAACTGGCTCAAAAAAAAATAATGTAAAATACTCCAAAAACAATACTATTAGGACAATATTGATTGACAACATAATATATTTTATTAAAAGTAAAGCCTATATACGTATAATTATTCATAMATTTTACATTGTTTCATCAATCAAATTGTTTTAAGTAGATAAATAATAATATATTAAACAATATATATTACATAAAATTTGATAGACGATAGTTGATTATTTTATATATTTTTTTTAAAAATGGATTCCTTAATTTTTAATCTGTACCAATATCTTTTTGGAAAGAACCAGCAGAGTTATAATTTTGAAGATCATTCTAAGGACTATTCAGTATATGAAATATGAATTTTCAATTGTCTACTTATGTAAAAAAATACGATTTAATAAAAATATAATTATTATGTACTAAATATTTAGAACAATAGCATTATGGAAGAGGAATGGAATTCGATTTCAACATCAACAAATTCTATGCATTCAATTGAGATCCATCCTAGTCGAGATGAAATCGATGCTTTCTCCCAAAGTAAGTTCTAAGTGTTAAGATTCTTACCGACTCTACTACAATGGAATAATAATATATAATTGTTATATTATGGGATTTGTTATTTTGTTTTCAAAGAATTTCAGTAAATTATTTGTTTTAATTTCAGACCCACGTAAAATATAGATAAAACACTCTCCCCTAAAATTATTTTTATTATTTTTGGGTAACCTCAAAATAAAATTATTATTACCAAAATTATATAAAAAAAATTAGTGCATTTAAATGATGTTTACAATATTTACATAAATCAATATATCATTCCCTCAAAAATGCGTGTATCGGTTTTTTAGTGGGTAATTTGACTAGTATAATTCAAAAATTAAAAACAATAACTCTGCGTAAATGCGTTTTGTTTTTTTACGCGTGGGCAAGAAAGAAGAAAACTAACACTGTCCTAACATCTTCTTAATCATATAAAACATTGTAGCATGCAATAACAGAGATAGTCAGGTATAGGCACCTACCTAATTTAAAAGGTTTAATAATAACAGACATAAAATTAAAAGTATGGTAGTGTACAAGAAAAAGTTCTGATTTTTGTTGTTGTTATATAAGTATTTAAAAAAATACTCATACTATTAAGTTTAAATAAGTGATATTATGGCAGTGCTGTATATACAGCGTATTATAGAGTAATAATATAAATTATAAATTATTATAGAGAACCATGGTATTCAAAAGAGAATAGATAATTTAAAATTTAAATGAAAAAATAATCATATTATTTTAATAATTTGTTAAAGTTCTTAATAATTTAACCTATTATATTCTAATGTGTTTAACATTAAGAAAAGTTCAGTGAATTCATTGAGTCAATATCTTAATTTTTTTGATAATTAAAAACATCATACAACAGGAAAATTATTTAAGTTATCAACCTCTTTTATACAAACACGTCATACATGATTATCTACAGGAAATTTAATTGTTTACATATMGTAAATTGTGATTACATATTTACATTTATCGTTATACATAATTTATTGCAGTCTAGCTCAGACGGCAAACCAGTATGTTAATAGTTTCATGAAATTATAGATAAATTATAATATTAAAGATACATGATCATAATTTTATTTTTATACAAGCATATTTTAAGTTTTACATAACTCATCGAAATCTCAAGGAATTTGCTAATTTTTTATAGTTAAAAATGTACACAATATTTTTATAGCTAAGGATTGAAAATTAAAACATGATTTCTAACTACTAGTTCATACTGTAAACAGAAATCATAAACACATTTTTTTCATAGACATTTAGACGAAATTATATATTTTATCGAAGAAAATCGATTTTTCTTAATTTTCATGATTTATAAGTATTATTCGAGGGTGCGACCTTGAAACTTTCAAAGTGTATTGTTAATAATTACACTTATACGTTCAACCTTCAACGTATACGTTGGGTCGCCTTGTTTCGCACTTTACAAATTTACCATTCATAATATCTATTAAACTATGATATTTCTAATATTAGAGTGAATTAGTATATTATAAAATGTAAAGATAAAAAGCGGGTAAGTCGTGGATGTCGCTCTGCTGTACAGTTAGTTACAAGTGGTTTACTGWAATGGATGGAATTAAATTTTAATCCAATGATATTATAATATCATTGTATACGGAAAACGATTTTGAGTGGAGACAAATTATCTGTGTAGGATATATTATTATATTATAGATTATTAAAAATTATCAAATCTTAGATTTAAAAAGAAAAATTTTTATGAATTTCTACCTTAAAATAATTTGCGAATTTTCGTGATTTTTACGTATTTTGTCAAAATTCAAACTTTGAGTGCTTATWAAAAAAATTGTGACTATGAATTTCATTTATTTTAACTGCTATTGTAACAATATGTTAAGAGCCTTGTATTAAATTTTCAAGCTTTTCTACCCAAAAAATAAATTTTTATCGATATTAATTTWAAAAAAACTTATAATGATCGAAAATTGCATATGCCTATAAATAGTTAAACTTAAGTCGTAATTTTTTGAAAATTGTATGGTAGATAGAATATACTTATAAAAAGATTTGGTAAAAATTTTATGTATCTATGGTCATTTGTTTTAAAGTTACATCAAAAACCAAAAACGATTTTGTCGAAAACTGATTGTACGTAAAATTTCCTGTTTTTCCCTTAATTTTTAGTTTGTTTATCCCGATTATTTAGAAAAATATTAAGAATATTAAACTTTTGACCCCCCAAAGTACCAACTAAATTCACTTTCTGATCGAACGAGGTACTGAAGTCAAAAATCGAARCACTTTTACTGCCCCGTGATGACAGACACACACAAAAAAAAAACACACATCATGGCTCAGAATCTAAAATTTTATCTAAAGACCCATGTCAAGTTTTTTCAAATGTATATATTTGATGCGAGCAATAAGAATTTTAAAATTGTAAATGACTATATGAATCTATGATATATTTACTTTATTGTTTTTCTTATATTTATKAGGTACGACCATTGTAATTTAATTGTATTAATATTGGAAATTAATAAAATTGTTTTAAGGAGCTGAAAATCTCCAATCGCAATTAAACTCTTTGACAACGAAAATTCAAGATATCGAAAACAGATTTTCAAAAGATCGTAAAAGTGGTAAGTACTAATTCCCCATCGGCTATCATAGGAAATGAAATAATGATAATATAGTAATATACGTATATTAAAATTAAAATAACAAATAACTTAATAATTAAATACTAACAAGTCTTGGATAAATTATTTGTGTTCAGAAATCAATGACAAATCGAAAGATATTACTTGCATTAGAGACCAAATTCCGCTGTGTACAGAATTATATCAATGTTTGCAAAATACTGTAAAGGAACTAGGAGGTGATACTGATATTATTATAGTATAATTCTTAACTCTATAATAATTTGGAATCCATAATACGTATTTAATAAAATATGTTTCTAAATAACCGTCAATTTTGCCTTGTTTAGAACAAAAGTTCATTCTCGACTCACAATTCAAAGGATTGACATTAAATTTGAACAACAATAATATTCGTTTGCTTGCCGTCGAAAGTATTAATAAATTATAATTTAAATATTACAGCTATTTCAAACAAATTTTATGTTATATAATATTAATGAGTAATTACACATTTAGACGATGTTAAAACCATAACTCTAAAATACAATAGTCTATTTCAAATGTACGAAACACTACAAGGCCAACTCGAAATCGTTGCGGGGAAGATTTATGTGAAGTTTGATTACTTGGAACAAATGTTAAGCTATACTACAAGGGAGTATTATAGAACAAGCGATACTCTCGAAGACCTTTAGCGCGTCCAATCCTATTACAAGTAATACTGTACAATTTTTAAACTTGAAATTATCGCTCTCATTTTTTTAAAATACTAAWACACTATTATAGGTATTCATATTATTTTTCAAGCACTGCAACACATGTATAGTCAAACATGCATGGGCMTATCATGTGTCAATGTGGGTAAAAGTCAGATAATGCAATAATAGTTGTACATAATAATAGTTTTCATTAAATATCTTAACAATTATTTTTGCCATCTACATTTATTTTGTGAAAGTATTGTTARCCATTATTTATTTTGTTTAATTTATAAAACAAAATTACGGAAAAAATAACTGATATAGGTAAAAATATTTGATGCTTTTTTAAATACTTTAAATTTACAAAAGTAATCACTCGGGTCTATATTTGATTTAATGATATTCAGGACTTCATGAGTATGTATCACAGTTAAAGATATTTAATACTTAATTAATTATAATATCTTTAATTGTGGTATGTATTGTATATTTATACCAGCACTGAACTATAATTAATTGTAATAGTAATACCTAAATTACAAATAACTAATTAAATTAAAATAAATCAATGAAATAGTCTTTTAAATTTTTTTTATTAGTTATAACAAGAATAATTAATAAAACATATAATAAAAACAAACAACACATTATATAATTATATAAAATAATAAAATATAAACAGATAACATTAAAAATATTATAATTAATATTGATATGAGGTAACTAAATTCTAATATGATATTAAATCTTTTTTTAATTTATAAGTAGTTTTAGAGATTTTATATTTCCAATAATACTTTAAGGCACATAATTACAAGTCACCAAAGACAATAATTGTTAGTAAGTATACATAATGTCTTTTAAATACGTCAAACAAGCTGCCTCATTGAGAAAGCATTAGTATACTAAGTTTTGTAAGTAACAACTGTTTGTTAATTTGAACATTTATCAAGATTTTTGTTAAAAATATACACAACTTATCGTATATACTGCCCTAGATAAACTTCACATTTAGGGCATTTATGTTCAACATTTAAACATTGATCCATACAAAACGGTATTAAGCATGGACCCCAGAAACATCTGAAAAACATAAATGAATAAAGTAATCATTATAACAATTTAAACAAATAGTTAACCTTAAATTATAAAAAAAATTAAAGATAAGACTATCTTTTTTGAAGAATGAGCATACACAGTACAGTTATTTTATTAAAACCCATCAGAAATATTTGATAGAATATTAATATTCAATCAAAATATAATAAGCATAATAACAATACAAAAACAGACTGTGATTATCATTGGTCTGTTTTTTAAAAATAAGTTTCCCATTTAAAAATTGAAAGTTTACATTGGTATAACCAGACTGTAATAGAATTATAGAATTAATTATTGTTAAGAAGGGATACTAAAATATACATAATATGTATGTTAAGAGGACGCTTCAAAGGCATTTGTTGTCTTTGTCTTTTAAATTAATAAAATAGCAAATTTACACTCAGTAGATCACACTTAGTTTTGTAAGTTAGAAAATTGGAGTGATTCGACCTATTATGAAACTTAATAGTAAGGATATTATCTGTGTTCGTAAGAGAGATTTTTACAAATAATTTAGTTTTTAAATAGTTATGAACATTTTTAATTTACACTTTATTATATACTCAAAACTTGCTAAAAATTTAATTTTTTTTTTTAAAAAACAACATAAAAACACAACTGTTGTTACCATCATGTTTCATAATAGGTYAAATCACTTTTTTGACTAACAAAGCTTAACATGATCTATAGAGTAAATTTGCTAYGTTACCCACTTGTAAAACAAAGCCAACAAATGCCCGTGTACATCCTTTTAAGTGTATTTTAATCTAATTAAAAATGAATACTAATTTAAAATTTTAAGAATAATTAATTAATTTGTTTATTACCCAAACACACAACACAATAAACTGGATATATAAGCCATTGTACTCGGTTTCTTAGTTATATTTGTAGTTATCTCTTTTCTGCAATTCGAGCAAACCATTCGGGTACTGTGGGGGCCAACAGGAACAACCGTGGTAATAAGTTCATATGGTGCTTTCACAACTAAATAAAATAACTTCAAAATATTAGAAAAAAAAAAAATCATGATTTGTGGAGTAGTCAATTACATTCAGGTTGTGGGGTGTAAGGACTTGCTGGTGAAACACTTGTCTGCTGATTCCATCCATATGGTGCTGTTGGAACTGTTCCTGGTGTATATGCCCCACTCATGGTTCTATAAATACCTTAGAATTATTTACAAAATAAATTAATAACAGAATACTTATAACGTGTGTGTAATTTAAAAATATATTAAATACACTTCGAAACTTAATACAGATAATCAATTTCCGTTTTGGGCATTAAGGTCAAACAAAACGAGATATTAGAGCAATTTTATAGGCCAAGACTTTTTAACACTTTCTATTATTAAATAATGTATAAAAGCTTTCCGTAATAACACAATAAAAATACTATACCTGCACGTATAATTCAATAATATATATAAACTAAAATTAGTTATAGACGTCTGAGACTATTTCGTTGTATAATAAAGTAATAACTAATAACTRATTTGAGTAATTTCCATGGTAATTTCACAATTCACATTCACACAATGCACCTAATCGTCCTAATCAGATATTTTAATGATAAAAATATATATTATTCTAGACACGTTCATGGAAACATACATAYATAATAACTATTTCTTCCAACGTTTGTAATAATTTCAAAATAAATGTAATGTTCTATTTTATTGTTCTGGGTATACACGGAGTATCCGAGTATACGTCTTGTATAGTTGTATTTCTATACTTCTTCTTCTTCTATATTTCGATTTCGAACGTCGCGACTCGTGACCATTTAGTTTATACAAGCGTATGATTATTAGTATTATTACTAATATTTCTCCAAACTTCCCGATCTTCTATGTTTCGCATGATTTCTGCTATTGACCTGATTCCTACTAAATCTTTGATTTGATCAATAAATCGACAAGGAGGACGTCCTCTATTTCTTTTGCCCTGCACTTTTCCTTGAATAATTATTTTTTCTAGGCCTTCTCGTCTTATGATATGACCAAAAAATTTTAGGATTTGACGTTGTATTGAGGGGAGGAGTCGTCTGTTCTCTTGTATTCTCAATTCTTCTAATATTGACGAATTTGTTCTGTAATCTGTCCATGGTATACGCAGCATTTTTCGATACGATGCCATTTCAAAAGATTCTATTTTTCTTCTGCAAGATGCATTAATAGTCCATGATTCTGAGCCGTATTATGTTGTTATAGGAAAAACCAGCGTTTTCATCAGATATAACATTGTTTCTTTCCTTATGTTATGGTCTTTCCATATCCTATACAGTTTAGTAATAGCTGACTTGGCCACAGGCACGGCGCCAAGGGGTGGCAAGGGGGGCTCTAGCACCCCAGAAAACAGATCAGCCCCCCTACTGAAAAATATGTACGATATAATAAAGTTATAATATATTATTTTTAAATAAGACCTACATCAAAGAATTTATGAAATATTCCTTTTCAGTTTTTAAAAATTTTTAATTTATGAAATACTTTTGTATTTTCGAAAACTTGTGTATTAAGTTTTTGGCGTTTTAAAAACTGATATAAATATATATAATATTAATATTTTATACGGGCGTGTGACGTCGACGTGGCGTATCAATGCGTCAACATGCAACGCCTGACGKATGACTTACAGTCTATTTTTAAATAGGTAGAAAATAAATGATAATATTAAAATTAGATTATTACATTAGATAATCCTATGATTTTATATTTTTGCTATATGCAATCRATTATAATTGTGTTTTATTTTTAAAGCAGTTGGGACATTTTATMAGATTATTACATGCCGTGATTGTAGAATTATTTATTATGTTTATATTCGATACACTAYACAGTGTAATGTATACTGAATAAGACATCAGTGTATTAGAGTGTCGTGTAATCAAATCAATATTAAATATTTTTAATGTATGGCATAATTATAAAGAAAAAGATTAATCTACGGTTTTTATTCGTGGCAAATTCATCTATGAACGCATGATTTTCTTATTTATGGTCTTCCTAACAATTATTATTATTACATTATTCTTACCACCACGTATAATTATTATACGTTGCTCATACTGCAATACATTCTCATCGTAATACTTGACCTAATCAAAACAATTTTTTTCTAACTATTTATAAATCACATTTTCATTTTTTATCGAGCATCGGACGTACACTAGTCTAGTACTTCTATAAAAATGTGGGTGGGCACATGCCTACCGGGCCCACCCCTAAACACGCCACTTCAGTAATAGCTATATTATGTTATATGATACAAAAATATTTATATTTCATTTAAATAACCTGAGCATTTGTTGAAACAATTTTAGCCCATGTAAAAAAATTATTTGCCCCACTCTGCCCCCCCCCTGGAAAAAAATTCTAGTGCCGTGCCTGCTTGGCCATCCCTAGTCTGCGTTTTATTTCCTCCTCAGAACCACCTTTGATTGATATACGTGCTCCTAAGTAAATTACATTTTCTTTACGTTCTATATCTGGGATTAATTCGAAGTGTGCGGGTAGGATTTCCGCTCTATCTACCGTCATTATTGAACACTTTGCCACAGAATAAGACAATAAATAAATAAGACTTTGCTCTGTTTAGTTTGAGACCAGCATCCACACTAAACTTTTTCAAGAAAACTAGCCATTTCACTTTCGGTGCTAGCTAATAGAACCGTATCATCTATACTRTAAGTTCTTAAACTGTGATTCACACTATTCACAGCCAGAGGCGGATAGGCAAAAAAAAATTTACCGGGAAAATATTTATGGGGCGACATTAATTATTTTACTATATATGGTATACAATCAGGGATACCAAAACTTTTTTTCCAATGAAACCTAAAAACAATTACACAGATATTAGATATAGATGANTCAGGGATACCAAAACTTTTTTTCCAATGAAACCTAAAAACAATTACACAGATATTAGATATAGATGAAAGATGAATAATATAAAATAATTCAATAACTAAGTTTTTGAAAACTTAAAAATTTATWTTGATTATACATGTTATAGGTATTTCATACAGAATACAAATTTGCTTAGACGCTAAGTAAAAATTAATTGAAGGTCCTAAACGTAAAAAGCCCTATGGATTCCATTTTGGAAAAATTTACACCACTGCATATTGGAAGGGGGCGCCGGTAGGCGGTRATACGGGGGCGCACCGGGAAAGTCYCGGTTCCCGGTGGGCCTATCCGCTCCTGTTCACAGCCCCCTAGGAGTCCGCGAACTTCATGTTGGGTGTTCGTGGTAGCTCAATTTAAAAATAAAATGTTACATTTTTATAAAAAATTATGTGTAGGTAACAAAAATAGTTACATATAAATATGTATGTTTTTATGCACCTACATAATWTATGTGGTTTCAGATTTTTAATATAAAATMAAGATTAAAATATTAACAAGGTATGATAAAATGTGAATTTTAAAAARCGGGTAAGTGGTCGTAAGTGGATGTATATCGCTCTGCTATACTGAAATTGAGTGAATATCCATTGTCGTTAAAATGTGAAGTTTAAATGTTCAGACAAATGTGTCTTGTTTTATTTAAATTTCTAATTTTTTTAATTAGATTTTCTAGCAGACATTTTTTTTTTATTAAAAGTAGACAAACTTTTAAAGAATTTTGTATTGAATTTTCAAATCTGAGTTTAAAAAAGATAATTKTTTATGAATTTCTAACTCAAATTAATTTGCAAATTTTCGTGATTTTTACTTATTGTGTTAAAATTTGAGCTATACCCGCATAATATGTTGTCTTCGTCTTAGAAACGCACACCTTACCAAAAACTATTTTAAGTGGGATAGAACTACTCAGGTTGTAGTCATAACTAAGAGACGAAATTTTCACAATGTAAAAAGAACACTTACTGTGTAACAATTGTAACATCGTTTTTAGTTTTTCGATATCGCAAATACAAAAAAAAAAATCGTTAGGTATTATACGGCCTATTAAATATTTATTAGTTATTTTGCTTATTATTGTGATTATGTATTTTTAATTTTAATTACCATTATAATAATATATTAGCCATTAGGAACCTTGTATTAAATTTTTAAGTTTTTTTACTCAAAGGGTATTGAAAATTTCAAATGTCTATAAGTAACTAAAAAKATATGAAAATTGTATGAAGTACCTATATAAAACCCCAATATAAAAAATCAGTGAAAATGTCACGTATCAACGGTATTTTTTTTAGAGTTACATCAATATCCAAAATTGATTTCGCGTAAAAATTCACGTTTTTCGTTTAATGTTTTATTGTTTACTCAGTGTTTTTRWAAACTGCCTAYTGAGATTTTAAATGTTGACATGCTCAATGCACCAACTAGATTCCCTTTATCATCGAACGGGGAACGGAAACAAGTTTATAAAACTTGGTACATTTTTGCTAAAACATTRTCTCTAAAATTTTTTAAATGCTATAGCTTAAAATATTAAGTTACAGTGATGATAATTTATACAATGGGGTTTTCTTTTATAAATATAAGATTTTTTTTTCTATTTTTTAAAAATGTTCCTAACAAGTCATCCAAGATGGCGATATATGTATAATATATATTGTTTATTTTAATAATATTATTGACTATGATTCAATGACATATTTTTTAATTTTTTTTACTATATCTTTTGTATTTATTAGCTATTAAATCGTTACATAATTATTTCCTATTGTGTTTATTATTATAAAAAAAGGGAGAGCGATTTCTAAGAGTTCCTCATCAGATTTCTGTGTACTCGACGTGTTCAACGAAGTCAGATATCTATTAATTCGTGATCTAGTCTCTATTTTTCGTATGCTATGTCTTTGGTGTTTAYGAATTTACTTTAATTTTACACTTAACTTACTTATATAGAATACGAATGAAAGAAAAAGCCATACATAGTACATACAGACAAGCAGTTACAAAATACAAATTACAAGTATTATTGTTTACATCTTAGTGATTACCAACGGGATAGTTGTACTTTTTTATTCTGTGCTAGACGCTAGTTCATTGTTGGCCTTGTTACGTCGTCCACTTACTACCAAAATAACGATTGTACCTACCATATAACCCGACAGCATAGGCACATGACTCTATTATCCCCGAGTAAATGAATGTTTACAATGGACATTAATACCCATCGACGTAACTACAGATGGGATTTTCTTTTTCCATATAGTGCGAGTGCGTCAGTGACCACTGACCAGTATCACAGTAGTGGTAGAAAGTAATAATTTCTGGTGGACCTTTTTTTTTACATATTCCGTGTAATGTGTTCTCAACCCGCCATAATAGATTAAATATTCCACTATTCTACCGCTGGTTAGGTGGTTATACAAATGTGGTTATTAAATATTAATCACTCTGTAGTGAAAATGTGAGATCGTTATTACTTATTCGTTGCACTCATGCAATTTATTGTTGAAATATTCAAATATAAACATTTGAAAATGACTGAAATGAATTTAGTCTGTAATTACAAAAAATGTCGTAAGGCTTTAAACACCTTTGCATGGGTAACGAGTTGCTCACATATATTTTGTGACTACGATGGTAGTCGAGCATTTAATCGTGAAAAAAAGTGCCCGTGCTGTAATGAAGTCCTAAATAGACGATTGGACATTGTTCAGATAAACTTAAATCCTGACGAATCTTTTAAATCTGTATGTATTTTAACTATATAGCGTACCTTATTTATTTGTACCTAATACCTAGCTATTCGAAAAACGTAAATTTAAGCAATGCTTAAGCTTTCGTAATGTTTTATTTAAAATTGTAGATGATACTGTGTGGGTTAAGACCAGAAGTTGTAATGGATATATCATTACGAGCAGTTTCTTTTTGGAATTATCAAATGACTCAAGAAAAAATCATTCAGACTAGTTACATGAAAAGACTTCAAGCAAAATATGAACAGGTTAAAATCGATATAGAAACCATGGAGTGTCAGTTTCAAAAGCATATTTTAATTGAAACAAAAAAATCTGAGTGCAAGTATACTTTTAGGAATAAATGATAATAAAATATATATGTATGCAATGTAAATTATTATCTATTTATAACTAGTGTACAATTACATTTATAGCAGCTTTGAAAGATGCTGAATTACAAAGACGAAAAACCCAAGAGATAGAAGAGAAGCTGATCGAAAAAAGTAGAATATTACATCAAGTTCAAGTAATAATAAAATAAAATTAACAGAACATTATATTATACCCATTAGGATTTAATATGTATACACTTTTAATAATTACCAAATTCATAAAATAGCAATCATAGTCACACATATAGTTAAAGTGTCATCAATTACTAAGGAGCATAAAAATGATTGTACTTTTAAAGAATAATATTGTTTTACATCCTAAGATTAGGTTAGGTTACCTTAATTATAATTTATATTTTACATTTCACGATTTAGTTGCCGGCTAATTGAACACGTAGTATAGATAWAGATTATAAATTTTCAAAAACTATATTAAATACTAATTTTAATTTTTAGATACCTAGGAGTTGAGTAGGTATTTCAATTTCAAATATCTCTTATTAATATATAGATAGGTAATCATTGTTATATAAAAGAAGCAAATTGAATATGAAATCAATATAAAAATATTAGTTCATTGTAAAATTAAAATTATAATTATATTTTAGTCGAAGTATGAGTCTCTTAAACTTCAACTTATTTCTAATACCATAAAATCCACAAAAACAGAACAAATTCCTATGGCCCAACTCCAGCCTAAAACATTTGAAGCACATAATGGTCAGTGCGCCTATAACATTATTTTTTTTACTTTAAACTAAATTAATATTTATTTTATTTTACAGAATTTGTATTTGCCCCAAACATTGATTAAGTCAAATGAATAAATTTATACTAAGTTAGAAAAAAAAAAATACAATACAAGATACTAAAACTACTAAGGCACAGCCAYACAGCAACAATTTTCATTTTAAATCAATTATTTCTAAAGGTTTTATATTTAATTCTTTTTGTAGTTCTTCTATTGATTGTTCCCATCGTTTTTCAAAATAAATATTTAGCAAAAAATTACTGTTTAGTCCTGTTTGAATAGCCCATGGTAAATAATGTTTTACATACTGTTCTCTTTGCCTGAAAATTATGTAAATGGGCATTAAATTGAACAATCTAGAGTAGAAGTATATTAAGTATATAAATGTTTACTTTGGTTTAAGTCGTACAGCTCCAAAAAGACCTCCAGTTAGAGTCATAGGTAACTTTGTCTGAAATGCTTCAATCCATTTTACTGTTACTTCTCCTAAATAACGATAGTATATATATTACACATTAATATTTAATAAATAAGAAAACACCACATTACCTAACATATTTGTAGGCATTCCCAACACGGTGTGAAATAAATCATGTACTTCTCTGTATCTTTGCATTACATATGCTAATTGAATATCRTCAATGAATTGTACTGATCCTCGGGAGTCTGGGGTTACTTTCTAGACAAAAATGGAATATTTACGGCTTTGCACTTCATTGATATAATATCAAAATATTAAAAATATCTTAACATACATTATCATCTAAAAATTTAAAGTAAGCATATCCGAGAGTATTCTTTGGCATGTATTTTAGCTTTTCAAGATCAACTGTAGACGTGTTAATTCGTGGTTGTAACCTTCAAAAAAGAATTTTATGGAATTATAATCTATAAAAAACAGAATAGAAATATACAGATAATTTTAAGAATTTAATACTATATACTGTAATATTTCGTTGCCTTCAGGATTATTAATCATTTTATCTCTTATATATTTCAATGCATGCGTTCCAGTAGTTTCACCCATAGTGGCAATCATATCTAAAATACAATAGGTATATAGTTTTTTTAAAAAGCCAATATAAATATATAATAAAATTAGTTTTCCAATTTATTAAAGTATTATTACCTGCTCTTTGAGGATCAAACAATGAAACAGTTGCAGAACCGATTGATAATAATAATTTTTGTATTGGTGTGGTGGGTATATGATTTTCGTTATATTGGGTTACAAAATCAGACATATATCGGTGCATTTGATTATTTAAAATGATATTTTTTTTCAACATTTTGAATTAAAATAGGTATTGTGAACTTGATCTAAAAAAATTTTAAAATTGATCTTAATCCGTAGTAACTATTATAGTAATAATAATTATTTTCATTAAAAAGACTACGAATTTCTTAGTGTTAAATTAAAATAGTATTTTAATTTGTGTTATTAAAATTAATCAACGATTGACKTGACGCTATTTTYATTGGATATTGATAGTGTTGGCCAACGGTATTAATAATAAATAATTATTGATATTTATTATTCTCTTATATGAAATATTTACTCTGCGATTCTACAATTTTGGTCAATGTCACTGACTCACGGGCACGGGCACTGACTGACTGACTGCTCACGGGCCACGGCCCACGGGTAAAGATGTCATCAATACTATATCTTGAATTCTTGATAAATATACAAATTCAGATGATTAATGGCGTCTGTTATCAATGATAACAGTCAGCTAATAGAAAATATTCATCAAGTTGGCCTTAATATTATAAAATTAAGCAAGGATTGAAAACGTTAGTGAAAAATTTTTAAAAACCGTTATTAAACGAAAACAATAAAACTATTACGAAGAATCCAAATAACGAAATTATAAATTTATAACCAAAAACGAAAATAAATGATTATAGTATTAAACATGAAGACTATAATAATAATAATAAGACTATAATTCCAATCTTCATGGTAGGTATTAAAATTAAACCATGAAAAATAATAATATATATTTCTGTTATMGAAAAAATTGATAATTCTGATAACTAAATAACTATTAATTGTTAACAAAAAAATATAGTTATTATTATTTAATATAAATATTAAATAATTCAATTTTTTACATTTGTTAAGCTTCTGAATTCAGGATTATTTTTATTATTTACTCTAGAAATCTGAAATAATGTTTCGTTTTATGTCTTTAATTTTTAATCTTTACCAATGCGGCAATGCACTTTTAAATTTTAAAAACATTTTAATTTGAAGTCAGAAATTTTGAATTTTTGAATTTTTATATAAATTATAATTTTGATTTAAAATTTAAATATTAAAGATATTTGATTTGAATTTTTAACTTTTAAGTGCATTTCTATATTGCGAGTTACTATTATAACTTAAAAGTTAGAAGTTATGTTATAAGAATATCAGAATATTATATATACAGAGTGTCCCGTGAGGATTTACCCATTTACCCGATACCTATCTCCCGAAATAATGGTGATAATATCGGAATTCTGGTTTTGTAATAAGACTCRCAGGGATAAGAACTACAATTTTTTCATATTTTAATTTATTTTATTATTTTGATAAAATAGTTAAAAAAATATATATTTTTATTTAATTATTTCCAAAAAAATTGACCATAGCAATTTTGTAGAATTTATTTTTCCGAAAGTATTGACGTTTCAAAATTTATTTTAATTAATTATCATTAATTTCCTGGTTTTTAGTTTTAAGAAAAAGGTATTCTTGCCGTATGCGGTCTACCTCACGTTTCTACATGTCATATGCGGTCTACCACACATGTTTTTATACGTCATATCAGTGGCGAAGCCAAAAAAATTTGGGCTCCCCCGCAAAAATAAAATATGGACCCCAAAATTATTGTGTTCGTTCTTTTCCCCGTTTTTTTGCGAATATAATATTTGGTTAGCGAACCACAGTGTACACAAGGATGATTATCGGTTTCAATAAGTCCTTTTTCCTTTAAAAAAGCTATGGTATTTTTCTCTGATTGGATAATGAAATTTAAATGTTTGGCTAAYATAATGTTAAATAGTGTATTAAATAAACTGATCGCGTAGGTATTACAGCACAAACTGAACTGATCTTATATGTTTACGACTACAGTCACGATTTTGGCAGSACCCAAATTTTATTATAGCAATTAGCAGGTATTTCATTATTGATATAGGAATCACATCGTTAAGATAAAACTTAATTGTCATTGCCGTYGAAACGTTGAAAATGATCATTAGTAGATAAAAAGTGTGTGGACGTGTGGTAGTCCGCATATTATAACATTATAGGAACATGTGCGGTAGATGACAAGTGTGCGGTAGACCGCATACGACAAGAATACCAAGAAAAATTGCGAATTAATATTACTATTAAAAAAATATAGAAAATACATAAGATTAAAAAAAAAAAAACATTTGAATTATAAATTTGAAATATAATTGAATATCAATACAAAAAACAATGATTTCAATCATTAGTTTGTAACCTACTTATTTGATAGAAATTAAAATAATATAGTTTTAAAGGACTTAATTTTTTTTGCTAAGATCTTTATTTTTTTTTTACCGGAATTTTAAAWTTTTTTRTATAATATGTCCTACGTCATTATATATTTTATATATTATATGTTATTGTGGCACAAAATATATGAAATGTATATTTAATTAATATTAAATTTCATATATTCTGTGATTGTGGTATCTGATACTATTGATAAAATATGTCATAATGACGTCATGGATAGTGAACATTTTTTCCTGTTACGGTCCATTCGTGACCTCATCCACAATTCTGTATGGATCCATACCGATTTGTTGATATTATCAACGAGTTGTTATCGTCTTGACATAATTGGTTGAAAATTATTGTTTACTTCTTCTTTCAAATTATATACAATAATATTATATGTAATATCAATGTATTATTAATTAATAACAATAAATATTAATTTTAGATACATTTTGGTAATACATTCAATACTTGGTARTATATACTATATATTTGAATCTTGTATGTGTTACTGTTGGATTTAAATTTAAATTCTTATAATCATTCATTAATACAACAATTMAAATGTATATTTAATTGACATGAAATTTGTATGTGCTGTATTTTGAACGGATTGTGAAWACTATTCTATTTGAAACTTATAATGTCTGACAATTCAGAAGATCAAGTAAGACAAGTGACCTACATCATTATAAATATTTTTTAATATTATGTATATTTTATGTTAGTTAAATAAAAATTATTTTGAATCAAAACTTTTTTACTCACTCGGTTGGTTATTATTTTGTTCGACTAAATGCACATTAGAACTACAGGGCATTATTKTAATGCACTAATGCATTTTTATGACAACATATTATAATCATTTTTCACCCATGTTATTATTTATTCAGAAAAATTTGAGTTTATAATTTTTATGATTTTACTCTTATGAACAATTGTGTTAACATAATTTGAAAATAAATCGATAGCGGGCTTAGTATTTGGTATACATATCTATGTAGTTGATAAATATTAAAAACTTCATAAATTAAAGGCTAATGTAGGTAACTGAGAATGTATTGTATATGCTTAAATAATAAGCCAATCAACGATTGTTATTTTATGTAACAAAATTTATACTCAAGTTTGTACTGTTATAGAATCCTAGGGATGCTGGAAACATGTGTTTGGAATTGGCTTTGGAAGGTGAAAGACTGTGTAAAGCAGGGGACTGTCGTTCAGGGGTAGCATTCTTCCAAGCAGCTGTTCAAGCAGGAACAAATGACTTACGTACTCTTAGTGCTATATACAGTCAATTAGGCAATGCTTATTTTTATTTAGCGGATTATCCAAAAGCATTGCACTTTCATAAGCTTGATTTGGCTTTAGCAAGGTATTTATATTTTATATTTATTTAATGGTCTTAATAAAGATAATTAAARTTTAATACTTTCCTTTTTGTTGGATTTGTTGCCAATTTGTATTAATATATTAAATTATCACAATAAAGCAGTTTTAAAATACTTGTTTTTGAATGATTTATTAAGAACACTTGGAGATAAACCAGGAGAAGCTAAATCTAGTGGAAACTTGGGAAATACGTTGAAAGTAATGGGCAATTTCGATGAAGCTATGATTTGTTGTAAACGTCATTTAGAAATTGCAAGAGAATTGGGAGATAAAGTCAGTTTTATTTTTAATTAAAAATTGTATACTTCTGACTAAATTTTCCCCTCAAGTATTTTTTTGTTAATTAATAAAATTGTTTTAATGAATTTAATAGTTGAGTGAAGGACGAGCCTTATACAATTTGGGAAATGTGTATCATGCTAAGGGTAAACATATAGGAAGAGTAGGTCAGCAAGATCCAGGAGAGTTTCCGGAAGAAGTAAAAGTTTGCATCGAACAAGCTGTTAAATATTATGAGTAAATAATATATTTTTATTATATCAGTTATTTGTCGTTTATTAAGACTACCTATACAATATACTTATCTTATTACGATTATCTTAGGTTAACATTGCATTATATTAATTACTTTAAGGCGATTTTGTAATCTATAAGACAAAACAATAGAAGAAGTTCTACCTTACTAAACTTGAAATGTTGAGCATAAAGCCAGTAAAGGGCATTTTAATCTAAATATTCGGGATTATTACTTTAAAAAATGTTTTTTGTGGCAAAAGTATTGACCATAGTATTTTGCTAAAGAAATGAGTASGTGSGTTKTATATGCATGTTGCAGGGAATTGATTTTTTAGTATATAATTATTATAATTTATAGTTTAAGTTTTGTTGGGTAGAACTATTTTATTTTGTAAGTTACATAAATTGTCTTAAAATAATATAATTCACTATTAACCTGTAGTAAGAGAATTATTATGATAATGGAAAATCTTATAWGTAGTCTMAATAATCGATAAGTTCCTTATTTTGTTTATCTATTATGTTTAATCTTCAATTAAAAAACTAAAACCTTATTGTTTATGAATAATTTACGATAATATTTCTATGAATATTTTTTGCAGAGAAAATTTAAAGTTAATGAAAGAGCTCAATGATCGTGCAGCTGTTGGTCGAGCTTGTGGTAATTTAGGAAACACTTATTATTTATTAGGTAACTTTAAAGAAGCTATTCAATATCATGAAGAGGTAATGTTGTTTTTAAAGCTACTTATACATTATATCATCATAATCTAAATGTTATTTATGTTCAGAGATTGAAAATTGCTCGAGAATTTGGTGACAAATCAGCTGAGCGAAGAGCTAATAGCAATCTAGGAAATTCTCATGTTTTTCTTGGGGAATTTGAAGAAGCAGCAGATCATTATAAGTAAAATATAAAAAAAAGTTACTTATTAAAATAATCGTTAATAAGATAAATAGTAATTTTAATGTTTAATTAGGAGAACATTGATCCTTGCTCAAGAATTGGAAGATCGAGCAGTTGAAGCCCAAGCATGTTATAGTCTTGGAAATACTTATACATTATTGAGAGATTACAATATAGCTGTTGATTATCATTTAAGACATTTAGACATAGCTCAAAAATTACATGATAGGATTGGTGAAGGTAAAACATTGTTAAAAATGTATAAATATAAATATTCTATCCTAGTTGTAAGTCTTATTTTAAACTTGATATTGTTGGAATTTCTTGGATGCATCATCACTTTATTGTTCTAACAACCTCCTATAAAAAATTAACTCAAATATTGCTTTTGTTAACTTAGTAAAACAATTTTAGCCATTCCCGATTTTTAGAAACAAAAACTCAATTACAAATATTGGTTTATCTAAGGAAGGGGTCACTAACTAATTTCTATGGAGATCCGTTTTGAAACTCACTAAACTGGCCGCGGTCCCTGACAGTTTTATTGACTTTTATCAAACCATTATCCGATTTATAATTAACATCCCAACATAGGCTTCCCCATTTATGAATATAGAAATACAGATTATTTTCTATCACTTAAATAATTCTTTGTAATCTAAATTTTATATGATACATTTATAGTTAATATTTATTTATATTATAAAAATTTTAAAAACTTAATAACTAATCCGCAAATAAAGGTCCATAAAAAAGTGTTCATGATCYGTCAGTTGATGACCCCTGATCTGAGGGTACTGGTCTAACCAAAGGGGATCAAAATCAGGTTTCCACCTAAAATTAATCTTATGAATGAGATATTGTTTAGTTTTATTAATCCTATTTTATTTCAATGATAGATTTAATTAAAGTTAACAAWGTATTAAAAATGTGTTAAGGTAATTGTAAAAATTAAATATTGAATTAATTTTCATCTCAATTATAGGAAGAGCTTGCTGGAGTTTAGGAAATGTAAATCTGGCTTTAGGGAATCACGAAAAAGCATTATATTTTGCTTCTAAACACTTGGAAATATCAAAAGAAGTAATAACCAATAACTTAATTATATTGGTTACAATTATATAACATTTTTTTTTTTTTTTTAGATTGGCGATACAGTTGGTCAGGCAACTGCACAAATAAATATAGTTGATATTAAAAAATCTTTGGGTATGTCAAATGGACAACTTTCACCAGACAGTAAAGAATTGTTGAATACCATCTCTAACACTCAGCCTTCACCTCAACTTCGACGTTATCGGGTGAGGCGTCAAAGCATGGAACAGCTTGATTTACTTAAGGTAGTGTGTGCATGTTTATGTGTGTCTAGTAAATGTTTGTCATTGTGTTTCATGTAACATAATACATAATTATTTTTATGATGTTCAGTTAAAACATTTTGGCATGCACTGATGTTATATCAAGTAATCAAGTAGTTTAAAATTTGCAAATAAAAAAAATGCTTTTATTTTATGTTTATTTKATGATTAAAAATTGGTTTTGAAATATTATTTATTAATAATTCTAGTTGACTCCTGACAACAAAGGTAAAGTACCCAGTTCTAACGACAAGATTTATCAGTCTACTTCATCAGTTTCTAAAAAGGTATAGGATTACATTATTCATTACATTCATTTATTATGTTTATTAATATCTCTTTTATTATTTTAAATAGTCTGAAAATACTGAAGATGATCCATTCTTTGATTTATTATCACGATTTCAAGCTGGACGTATGGATGATCAACGTTGTACTCTTGGTTCCTCAAGAAATTTAGAAGATAAAGAAAATCAGAATGCGAACAAATTAATTTCCCAAATTGGTTAGTATTTTATTATTATTATTTTTTTTTTTTTTAGTGCCACATTATGTGTTTATAAATTTACATTATAAAGTCTTATTTATAATGTTTTTAACAGGTGGACATGTTGAAAGTCAAGATGACTTGTTAGACATGATAGCAGGTATGCAGAGTAAGCGTATGGATGAACAAAGAGTAGAACTGGAACAACTTCCTGGCATTGCAAAACCTGATAGCGAACCTGATGATAACTTCTTAGAACTTCTTATGAGATGCCAAGGTGAACGGTTGGAAGATCAACGTAGTGAGCTACCTGTCTCCAATATTAGCAGTGATGGAGAGTCACAACGTACACCAAACCGAGGACCAACTGTACCTGATGAAGACTTTTTTACATTAATTATGCGCCTTCAATCGGGTCGTATGGAAGACCAACGAGCAAGTGTTCCAATGCCAAAACGAAATTAATGTATAGTTTTTAAGTATTAACAACAGGTTATTTATATTATAAAAATATTTTTTTGTCTTAATTTTGGTTTTTTTCTACTTTATAAGAACATTATAATTGAATAATTATATTATATATCTGTTAATGATATTGTTAAATTATTGATTGTAGGTAATATTTATTTATAAAAATTTCCATCATATATTTCTAGCATAAAAAATGATCTTTTTTAATAATAATATATATATCATATTTATACAAATAATTAATTTTATAGATGAGCTACTATCAGTTGTTGTATTATTATTTTAATGATAGAGTTTTATCATTCTTAGGTTATGCTATTATTATGATAATTTTTTTATATATTATRCTTAATTTAAGATTTAAAAATTAGCACTAATATTCTAATAGTATCATACATTATATACTCATATAATTCTATGCCATATTAGTTTAAACATGACATAATAAAAAATAATTAAATTAGTCCATATACATTTTTAATATATTTATTATTTAGATATATATATATTTTTTAATATAAACATATAATTTGTAAAACAAAATATTATACTAATAGTTAATATATATAACTTTAAGCATAATAAAATTTAGTTTTTTTAAATTCTATTTATTCTTCTTAATTTGACCATAGTAAAGTATAAATAATTTATATTTCCACAATAATTGTGGAACAAATAGCTGATGAATAATACTTAAAATTATTTTTAGTATGTTTATTTTGACTGAGATACATAAATTAATAGTTTTTATTTGATAATTGATCTTAATGCATGTGAATATTTTGCATACCACATATATCCTGTTGCAATTGCTAAACCATACCTGTAATAATTAATAAAACAATATATTTTATTATACATAAATATTAATATTTAAATAACTACAATAAATCTGTACTATCTGTAGTCTATATTCTGTCTAAAAGTAAAATATACCGGGTGTCAACCTGGATGTGCATCTTACTTATAGCAGCATATACAGTGAGCGGTAGAAGGGTTTTCAAATTCTCAGAACTAGTATATTCTACTGAGACAGTATAATAATTGTATAATATAGAACTATAGAAGACAATTTAACAATATGAAATAAACATATATTTTCCACAGTGAATATAAAAAAGCGATCATGACTTCAGGAAGTTACTTCTAATAACATCAAATTTAATAAAAATGGTATTAGAGTATTAGACWCATGTCAAACAATTTGTGGAATTTTAGCAAATAATTACTCAGGTGAATATAATTAAAAACATAAAATAAAAAAGCGGGAAAGTGGATGTCGCTCTGCTGTACAGTAGGTTACAATTGGGTTACTGTAATGGATGGAACTAAATTTGAATCCAATGATATATCATTGTGTACGAAAAACGATTCTGAGCGGAAATGKTTTATTTGTCTTAACACTTTTACTGCCCCAAAACGTGATGACAGACACAAAAAAAAAACACACGTAATGGTAAAATCAATACATTCATTGCTCCGCTCAGAATCTAAAATGGGCAAGTTAATACTGCTATGCTGTTCAGTAGGTGTCAAGTGGGTAACTGTAATGGATGTCACAAATTTTAATTCAATAATTTATCATTGAATACAAAAAATGACTCRAAGCACAGTTGGTCTATATCAAGTAATTACAACATATGTTTTTTGATATTATTGTTAAAGCAAATTAGTTTTCTAGAAGTATGATAGAAAGTTGATTAAATTTGACCAAATACATTRAATTAATTATATTCATCACATAATAGTCTATAATTCAATGATATTTTATTGTTGTGATTAGGTAATTTATGAGTAAATACCACCTAGCTGTTGAACAGTGCAGATRGTTCATAGTATAAATAAATAGTAGTTTAAAAATATTAAAATATTTTGGAAATGTCAGTGCATATAGTTTAATTTATAATTTTATAAATCCCTGTGAAAAATATTTTTGTTTTACAAAAAAAAAAACTAACATTGTGATTCTTAATATAAATATCTGATTATTTTGTCCAAATTTGAATTTAAAATACCAAGATTTTATGATAACATTATTTTTAGATTTTTTAGTTACATTATTAACTACTTATGAGAAACGTTGTTTAAAATGTTTTATCCATATACAAATTTCGACTTTAAATTCATATACAAAATTCTGTCTATATATCTTTAATATTTTTTTCAAATTGTTATTACAACAAATTTATGAGGAACCTTGTATTCAAATGTCAAGCTCTTTKMCACTTCAACAATTATCAAAAAACAGCTAAAAAATAATTAAAAWTTTTTATAAATAGTTCAATAATAGTAAAAATATTTTGGATATTATATGGCTTATCCATAATATAAACTTTTAGCCAAAATGTCATGAATGCGATCAATTGTTATTTATTCATATTTTTTTTTTGTTACATAAAAAAAACATTGATTTCATATAAAACTGGTTTTATGTAAACATTTCTATACCTATTTCTTAATTTTATTTTTATTTTTCAAGACGCACTTGAAAATTAATATTAATTTAAATTTTAAATTTTTTGGATCACAAATTTACAGTAAATATACAAACAAAATATTTTGTTATGATTGGTTTAGTATTAAACAATTAATTTAAATGTTAATTGTCACACCAGGCACCAAAAAACTAAAATTAATTTGATAAATAAAATAAAAACTGGAATTCAATCCAAATCAGAATATATATTTAAGATGGATTTGAAAATAAGAAATAATATGAAAAATTATTTATCTTACCAAGTAATAATATAAGAGACATGTTCGTTTCTCAATGAAATATTTGTTTGACCGCCAACTGGACCTCCAGGAATACTACATTCAATTACAGCATCAATCATAATAGGTTCACTATCAACTAATTTTGACATTGCCTCTAAATCTCTATAATAATAAATCGATACTAAATTATTGATCTATATATTTAGTTCAATGAATTTTTTWAAAACAAATATTTTAAACATATTATTGCAACCAGATTTAAAAATCGTATAAATATGTACCTATATGCCCAAAAACGAGAATCTGCTACATTCTTGGATACAAACTGAGGTCTTGGTTCAGTTAACCGAACGACACCTTCTAGTTCAATTTCACCTGCAACTTGGCCAGAAATTCGAGATGCAGGATTTTTATTTTTCATAGAAACCCAACCACGGTTCACTAAAATTGAGAAACTTAAAACAATTACTATTAGTATATAAGTGAAATTATATGAATGAAAACATTTCTTACGGTTTATTTGACAGTTTAAAAGGTGTGATGACATAATAACCACTTTTTGTAGATCCAGAAAATAATCCGTTACTATTCTCAGCTCCACCATCAGTTAAACAGGATCTAGGACCTAAGTACAATTCTTTTGAATGGTCAAATTCACCTACAACTTTTACTCTACGATATTCAAGTTTWGTAAGTTCTTCTTCGCTATAAAAATTAAGAAGCTAAATAATATTTGACTATAATAAAACAGGAAAAGATTCTTACTTTTCCGGAAAGTCCAATGCAGGGAGTGTAGTTTTAGTTTTGAGTTCTTGAATCAGATTTTCTTTCCATATTTTTCGTTTAACTTGCCATGTACCCAGTCCAAATGCAGAAATTGGTAGTACCTTCAATACAAATCATATTTTTCATTTAATAAAAATAAATAATGTGGAAATAATAAAGTGGAAAGTTTTAATCTTACTAGTAAAATCCATCCAATATCTGTATTAYTACTTTTCCTTCTACTAAATGAATTTAATTCAACTGATTTGGCTGTCATACTAGAATTTTTAGTCAAACTAGTTAGCTAAACAATTAAAACAGATAAGATAAATGTTCATAATTTATAAAAATTGCACAGTGTTTTGATCAGTATAGTTTTGTATTAMTACATATAATATATAATTTTATTTTACTTACAAATTACTAAATTATTAACTATTAGTGTTCAAATATAGAAAGACAGTAATATTTAGGTTAAATGTTAACCTTGAATTTTTTTTAAATTATTATTAAGTTCAAGCAAGAATTGAGATTTAAAGGCATACATATATATGTATATAATTTCTAATTTTATGTTTAAATACATTTGATTTTACTATTTTTTATRAGTTAAAATAATATCATCAAGCATAACACATTGAACAACACAATTCCGATTTCAAATTTAGTTTATCATATATTTATTAATAGATCGACTGAATATTATTATAATTGAATTAATGATACTGAAAAATTACGATTAAAAAAATATCTTTTGAGCTGAAAAATTAAAATTAGGACACTAACAAAAAATGAATAGCTTAATAGCAACAATAACAAATTGTAGTGTATTTAATAACAAAGTATGTGTACCAAGTGGTGTCATTCAAAATATGTAGACAATATAAAATAACGTATTTTGGCATCATCCACAGTGTACATGTTAATTTAATGAGAAATTATAAAACTAATCCACTTTTACAACGAACAATTTTTTATATTGAATTAAAAATTATTAGTTAATATTGTGCAATAGTAATTTCTTACTAACAACCTTACTTTAAAAAGTAAACATGAACATTAAAAAATAAATAAATTCAGAGTTAAATATAACATATTAATCCAGAGATATTGTAAAGCTACTCATGGTATTAAGTAAACTATACTTGTACACAAAAACCATAAACTTACAATTAGTTTAGATGAAGTAAAATTCTGTTTCACTAAAAAATTTGAAAAATATTTTCTACAAATCATGATGAACTTTGATAACTTCCAAGTTATTAAGTACTAATATGTTAATATATACTAGAGACTGGAGAAGAGAATTGAGATTTGACAAAAACAAAATTGAAAATATTCAATTCCTTCTATATAGTTCAAAAATTAATATTGAATAATATGTTTTTATTTATCATTATCTTTTGTATTTATWATTATTATTGTTTTGAGTTATCACCTATCAGTAAAGTTATTATCACATTTATAGTTAGTATAATCACAGAACAATAGTAACATTGTGGTAAGCATTGTAAATTTTAAATTTAAAAAAAATTTACTACTTGTCATTTTCAAATTTCAATCTTTAGTTTTTTGCTCTCCAGACTTCCAGTGTTCCATTTATATAAGTTAATATTTTTTTTGTTTGTTGAATTCTTTGAATTATTTATCGTTTCTAAATTGTAATTAACAAATAAATAGTAATTAATAAATAATGGAAGTAGACGAAGAAGGTAATAGCCATATTATAACCCATTTTCCACACAATTTAATTTTTTTTAATTAATACGTATTTATTATGTTGTAACTTGGTTGTGAAATTTAAAAATAAAACTAAGTGAACTTCTTTTTCAGAAATATTTTTTTCTTATTTTTCTAATTTTTCTTTAACCTATTTTTAGTATAGATATTTGAAATGAGATTTAAACTCACTATTGTGTCCTTTTAATAATTTTTTCATATACAATACTTTGAAATAGTATTTAAAACATAATAAAAAGCATATATTATAAACATTTCTCAATTTTAGATAAACTATCAAAAATTGAGCAAGAATTAAAAGAAATTAATGTTAAAGTTATCAAACTACAAAAACGTAAAGCTGAATTATTAGAACAGAAAGAAAAATTGAAACAGCTATCATATCAAAAACAAACTAATTCTATTAGTGACCAGAATAAATGGACTCACTCAGGTATTACAAGTATAACATTAAAAAATACAAATTATGTAATACTACAAGGCATAATGTTATAATTTTAATCTTTACAGACTTTCCTTGGCATCAAAGAGTACAAGATACTTTAAAAACTGTTTTTAAATTGAACACTTTTCGTTCACAACAATTAGCAGCTATTAATATTACATTGTCAAAACATGATGCTATACTTATTATGCCAACTGGCGGAGGGAAATCTCTTTGCTATCAGTTACCTGCTCTTATAGATCAAGGTATCTATTGAATTATTATAATTTATATTAATGCATTTTTTGAGATGTTTTCATAGTMTTTTGAATTGTTTTCATAAATTTACTCAGAATATCTAGTAAAATATTATTTAAATGTTTAACTTCTATATTGAGCCAATATGATCATGCTTCACATAATATAGTATTATAAATAAATAATCTGGTATGTGTATTATATTGTCATATAACATTAATGAAATTATTCAATTAATATTTTTTTAGTTATAATACTTATGTTATTATAGTTTTAACATTAACTCTTACTATATAATTTATATCTTTTCCCGCGTATCCAAAAAATGTGTACAAAGTAATTGTTTTATAAGGTTTTACTCTTGTGGTCTSTCCTATGGTGTCACTTATGGAAGATCAGACAATCCAAATGCAAAAACTTGATGTTAAGGCTAAAATGATAAGTTCCTATTCATCAAAAGAAGATGTAAAATTATTATTTCAGGTATTAATATTTCCTATTTTTTTTTTATATTTTATGGAAGTGAAGCGATAGATAAATGTATTTTCTAATGAAGTTTTTATTTCACCTTTTGGAGCAAAAAATGTTATTTGTGAATTTAAAATGTTACTTGTAAATATTTTTAATATTATCTAATATACTAATATACATTATTATACCTACTGAAATCTACTGCACAGGAGAACGGTTAAGGTTAAACCACTTTCCCTCTATTTTGCATTTGCTTTTAAAGAAAAATATTTTGTTTTTTTAGATGATGACTGACATTAAATCAGGTTTAAAAATTGTATATTGTACACCAGAAAGAATTGCCAAAAGTAAAACATTTATGAATAAATTACAAAAAGCTCATAGCTTGAAATATCTTTCAAGAATAGCCATTGATGAAGTYCATTGTTGTACGACATGGGGACATGATTTCAGACCTGGTATTTTACTAAGTTTTTTTTTATGAAGTTTTATTTAATATTAATTGTGTTATAGATTATACACATTTAACAATTTTCAAACCAATGTTTCCTGATATTCCTATTTTGGGTCTTACTGCAACTGCATCTTCAAAAGTTATTGTTGATACACAAAAGCTATTACAAATACAAGGATGTGCTTTACTAAAAGCATCATTTAACAGACCAAATCTATATTATGAAGTATATAATATTAATAATTTAGCTTCAATTTGTATTTAACATTTAAAATTATTCATAAGGTTAAATTGAAGCCTGAAGGTAAAAAATGTGTGGAGSAATTAGCATCACTGCTTAAAAATAAGTTCAAAAATCAATCAGGAATTATTTACACTACATCTATTAAAGATTGTGAAAGCTTACGAAAAGATTTAAAGTAATATATTTATAAGCAAGTAAATATATTTATTTTACATTTTTAGCCAGGAATCTAAATTAATTTTAAATTCATAATTAAAAAAAAATATTCTATTTTCTGTACATTTAAGACTTAAATGAACATTAAATTTATGATACTTAGAGAACATGGCTGTAGAGTTGGTGCTTATCATGCCCAACTAGAAGGACCTCTAAGATCAAAGGTTCATAACAAATGGTTGAATGGTGTATATCAAGTAGTAGTAGCTACTATTGCATTTGGTCTTGGTATAGATAAACCAAATGTGAGATTTGTTATTCACCACACTCTTTCAAAATCAATAGAAAATTTTTACCAAGTAAGAGAAATAAAGAATTAGTAATTGGATATGTTACCTAACGTTATATTAGGTATATTTTTTAATTGCATTAAATATAACTAAAAACAATTAACTATATATATTTTTATGAATATGTTTACAATTTATTAAAATAGGAAAGTGGGCGTGCAGGAAGAGATGGAAAACCCTCTACTTGTTTATTATATTATAAGTTAAGTGATGTGTTTAAATTAAGCACAATGGTGTTTACAACACAGACTGGGTTACCTAACTTATACTCTATGATAAGTTATTGTTTAAATGTAAAAGAGTAAGTTCAAAGATGTTTAATTACTACCAGAGGCGCACTGTAATTTGAAAAACATGTAATAAAATACTAAAAATCGACATTTACTACTCCTCACCTATCATTCAATAATCACCTTACAATTTCGTAAATTTAGTTTTTACCTATATTGAATCGATACCAATATGGTACAATATGCCATCAGTAAAAATGTAAAACCAATTCTTGACGCCTCTGATAGCTTTCCTCTATATTATCTTGTTGATTTATTTTTATTTTAAACTTATAGATGTAGACGCAAATTAATATCAACTCATTTTGATGAATCATGGGAATCAGATGATTGTAATGAAATGTGTGATAATTGTTGTAATCCTAAAACTGTGAAGTCTATTTGTATAAATAAATATTGCCTGGATGTGTATAGCATATTAAATGCAGCTTCAGAAAATGAAATTAAGTTTACAGGCATGTCTATAAAATTTTAACTAAAAATATGTTATGTATGTTTTAAAACTTAATTATTCATKTTCTACAGCTCAAATGCTAATAGATACTTGGTATGGTAAAGGTAACAAAAAAGTGTTGTTGTTTGATGTACAGTCTCCAGTATTTTCAAGAACACGAGCTGAAATGATTCTTGGTGARCTTATTGTACAAGGATATTTAATGGAAGACTTTCATTTTACTCCTTATTCTACTATTTCATATATCAAAAAAGGTGATTACTAATTATTATTATTAGATTATTTCATATATTTTTAGTTGACATTATCACTGTTCATAGGTACAAATCAATACAAGGTGACAAAAGAAAATAAAATCTTTATGGAAATATCCCAAGAATTAACCAGTGAACCAGTATTAAAAAAATTTAAATCAAAATAATTTATTTAAAATAGTTCTATTGGATGAAATTATGTTGAATAAAATTATGAATATTTTTCAATAATAAGACATATTTTTATTAATTATTTAAWAATATAATTTAAATTTGCTTCTATTGCATAGTATAGGCTTTAACTATACACTTAAATTGAGTATGTTACTAGAATTAATGTTTTTAATAAATCATTATACACAAATAACAGTTT